CCTGGTAGTCGCCCGAGGCTTGTGGGTGCTGGACGGCTGGCTGGTAGCTCTGGTATTGCTGTTGCTGTTGCTGGTGCCGTGGCTGCTGGAGACCCTGGCCCTGGTGTTGCTCAGGGCTGTATTGGTCTACCCCGCCTTGGGTCGAATAGCTTCCCTCCGTGCTTACCCTGTCAAGTGGGGGCCGATTGTACGGCTGCTGCAGCTGTTCCTGACGCGGCTGCGGCGCAAACTGCTGAGGCTGCGGCAGGTTCTGTTGGTACTGGATGTCCTTGGGCGGTACCTGGGGCGTATCGTCTTTCTGCAGGAAGGGGTCGAGGTTGTCTTCGTCCTGCTCGTTCGAAGCGGGCAGATGAGAAGTCGACCCTTGGTGCTGGTGCCACTGCTGCACGCGGCTCTCTTCCTGCGCCTGATACTCCTGCGCGCGGGGGTCGCTCTTCCGGACTGACTGTCGTCTGCCCAGGCCGTTCTTCTGTGCTTTGGCTTCCTGGTCTTTGTGCCCTTTGACTCCGGCTGCAATGCGACTGCGCAGCGATGGCTTCTTGGCTTCTGGCGTGTATGCAGAAGGCGCAGGCTGGGGCTGATAGGGGCCGCGATGAGGCGATTCAGCACCAGACACTGGCGCGGGGCCGGGTTGTTGCTGGTAAACCTGCGACGGCGACGACTGACCCAGAGGGAGATGGGCACTCAACCTGTGACTCGTCGTACGCTGAGGAAACTGCTCTCTATATTGGCCCTGTAGCGGAGCGCCCGCCGAGACCTGCTGTTGTTGCACAGAAGGCTGCTGAGCCTGTACAGGCACCTGCTGGCTGTCTGAAGTATGGTATCGCTGCGCGGCGACGTGCTCGTTCACTGCCAGCGCTTGCCCGTCAGCGGCGCCGGCGATTGGGCGCCCAAATGCTTCCTTACCAGGTGGTACGGGCGAATGCTGCCCTGACGAGGAAATGTCGACAGATTGGTGCGACCGATTCGACTTGGTCCATGGAAAGTTAGGCATCGCAGTGTTGACAGCTTCAAGCTCCGCCTCAGAGCAGGTTGTCGATGGCGGGGCGGAGACGACGCGCTCAGCTAATAATAAAACGAGACTGAGCAACCATAGACTATACCCGGGTAAGACTGCATCGCGCGGTTGGACAGCTTTCCTCAAGTACAATGCATCGAGCTACATAGATGCACGGCGTAGGTGATCAGCCCAAGCCGCCGCACGTGCAGGCATGCGGAACTAATGGAATGACATGGAGAAGGCAAGACCAGTCCCGGTGCAGCTAACACCGGACCAAGTTGCTGATATCGCGAGCCGTGGCAGTGCTGCTATTGCCAATTTCCTGCCAGCCTGCCTCTAACGCTTTCTGCTGTTCGACCTCCCCGTTCTGTGCCTGCACTCCCGCATCCCAGTGACACAAGGCGACGACAGCAAAAGTCGCTGGATCCAGATACATACACTGTGCCCATAGCCCGGCGGATGGAACCTGCAAACAAGAACGCCAAGTGGGGACAGCAGCTGTTAGTCTAGGCGGCGTTGCAAGCCCTCCTCTGCTCAACGTGCCTGAAGCTGCAGCCGCCCCTGCGTATCGCCTGGGGTATGCAAACTATACATATCGCGTCTCATTATTGTACACTGAATGTTTTGCTTTTCTTGTGCCATCGTGACATCTGCGACGTGTTCGAAGAGCTCAATGCCCAGAGTGGCAGATTGCATCATCACCATTACGGACTATCTCAAAGCGAGCGGATCTGCATACGAGCCAGATGTGCATCATCTCGCTCATGTTCCCTCAGCTCCGTAAAATGTCATAGGGCTATTTTTGGCGTCTGACATGTGCTAGCCGCGTTGGACTAGCTTGCCTATCGTTTCGGTTCTGATGCCTGTGTAAGGTTTCCTAAGCTTCCACGTTACACCACTTTCACACAAATCTCAACACAAGGCTGAGGTCTCGAAAAGCTGACCATCAGCCACTTCATGCACGCAATATAGCCAAATACAATTGTCGGTCTCTCCGACACCTCACCGGCATTGACCGGACAACAAACGACGCGAACGTATGCCGGTGAGGCGGTTATGCACGCCTCCTTGGAGGTGCGTGGGGACTACTGTATGCGCAAGTGCGGCGCTGCCAGGAACGATCTCTGTATGAGACACTATTACGCGCTTCTCTTCTCGATCGTACTTCTAGTATTGATGCAATACCGAATCATCTCGCAAGAGTGTCTGCTAGGAGCTCACTCAGACCATAGGTAAAGCGAACCCCGATATTCGCACGCCCGCGAGTTGGGTATTACCGCAATACTTCTCAACAAGAGCAGATTCGCATGTCGGTACCGTATGGATTGCGGAAGTTGTAGGTAGCTCGTCGTCACGGATCATCGCGCTACCACTGAATGACAACCAAAATGTAGCCTTGTGATCTCGCACAAAGCGTCTATAGGCAAACTTTGACTACGATTGAGTGAACTTTCAATCACTACGTAATGGGACTGCGCAATTCTCAGTTCCACTGCCCGAAACTTCTCCACTGAAACTTTACGGGCGTTTTCCTTACTACGACCACTTCAATACAAACTACAGATTCCTCCAACCTTCTCTCTCGACCATGGCCGATCAACAGGTGTTCCGATTTCTCGATCTACCAACAGAATTGCGCTTGATAGTCTACAAATTTCTCCCAGTCAAAACGGTACACCATGTCGTTCGAACCAACGATTTTGCTTTCTGGTTCAACAACTCTCACTATCACTCTACTCACTTACCTGAGCGTTTTCTCGAAGAGGGAGCACATTTCCAGACTCCCTCCTCGAAATGGCCTGTATACTCCATGACGATAGTTTCCAAGAAGGTCCCCGGCCTAGCGATCCTCGGTACCAGTCAAAAGATCCATCTAGAAGCTGGTGAAGTGCTACATCCAAAGTTACGAGCCATCAGCAAATTACCAGCACAGATTATCGTCAACAGTATCTCTCTGGGCAGTTTCGCCATGGTTGATGTGGTGACTCGATTGTCATACGCAAACACTACCTACTGGACCAACAAAAGCCGTCTCCTGGACTGGCGCGTAGCAGCACCTGAGTTGCGCCCAGGAAACGAACCCAGATCTCGACCCGTTCACGTAGCTATACGCAATTCGTTCATCGACAGAGACACAGCCGACGCATCGACAAACAACTTCAGAATGCAGTGCCTGCGGAATTGCTTCTATTGGTCACTTAGAAATGAATCAGCCATACATGCCACGAGCTGCCCTACCGACGGCTCCTTCCCGCACATCGACCAGCATTTACATGTCCGTATGGCTGGATTGACTTTGCAGGAGGAAAAGGCTTACGACACATTTCGACCTCTGGACCGTGGAAGTGCTGGAAGATGCAGTCGTTGCAGGTCTACCTCGCTTATCGACAGTGGTGAGATCATTGGTGAAGTGGAATGGGAGGACGGATGGGCAGAGCATGAGAGCTGTCTATAAGGGCTATGATCGTCGGACAACGAAGAAGAGATGTAGTCTCACGCATGGGGAGGTTGAGCTGGTCACTACTACTCAATTCTGGCGAACAACCATCGATAACAATGGACGCTTCAAACGGAACTGAAAACGATCTCGAGAATGATGTCTGTAGAAGTATCACTTACGTTATACAATACACTAATCTCAAAGCAATCTTACCTTCACTTCTACTTGGGGTCTGTGCGCTCACTGCCTGTACTGCGCCTAAATGGCACTCATGATCCATCGGTACCTCTCACCACACCGCATCAATACATTACCCAGGTTGACCCAAGCGCCGTAACCTCCAGCAACCTAACGAGGTCTTTATACGCCGAAGTCATGAAGGTATCAACCACCGACCTACCTCCGCCTCAGACTGCCACGATGGAGACATCAGAACAACCACGCCGCCCATTGTCCACGCTACTATACCCAAGAAGAGCGGAAGCGCCATCAGCATACGAAACATCACCCCAACTCCCGGCAATCCCACAAGAACAAGAGGCGCCACCATCCCCAGCTTCACCGCCGCCAAAAGCGCATCAAGACCATCCAACACCACCCTCACCACCAACCTCCCCACCCCTCATCGTCATCCACCCAGTCCCAGAACCCACCTCACCCACCTCCCCAACCTCACCCTTCCCAGAAAGCCTCCCACCGCGCCCCCAACCCGCCCAAAACGGAACTTTCATCTCCCGCCTCTTCAAGCGCGCACCCGCCCACCCCGATGACATAGAGCTCGGTCACCTTCCGCGTGGACACACACCAGAGGTTCCTGTTACGGACGCGGAGAAGGAACGGGAGTACAGGAGGAAGAAGGTATTGTTTATTTATATGATTTGGGGTGTGCTTCTCGTGCTTGCGATATGCGGGATGGTGGTTGGAGCGCAGATGTATAGGGGGAAGGTTAGTGATGAGGGTGGTGGTGAGAAGGTTAATAACTTTGAGGTTGTTGATGCGGATGGGGATGTGGTGGGAGGGGGAGGGGGAGGATGATGGGGGGTGGTTGGTTGATTGAAGTAGATACACGGGCTCAATAGATCAATGTCCGGACAAATGTCACTGGTGAAATGAGCCATGTAGCCAGCATCAGTGTCGGAACAGAGGAGGTTGAGATTGAGGATAGAACGATGAAGAGTGGCAAGAGATTCACGAATACATGATGCGAGAAGGTTATGCTAGATATGCTTCGTCATATGAATCTTCCTAGAAAGAATTAAAAAAAGTGTATTCACTGTCAATTGATAACTCGCGTGGCCTTGCACGGAAGCAGATCAAAGTTTAGGTGTCTTCAGACCTAGTCCTGGTTCTGTGTCACCATCACTATCTCGCTTACTCAATCCGTCTTGGCTAACTCGACCCCGACTGACCAACAGCAGACCACTCCGCTCACTGTCTCCTGCGCAGGAAACGACGTTCCTCAACATAACCAAGTTTTGTACTGCTACAGGTATACCGCATAGAAGCATTACTACCTTGCTTTGTGCTGACATTCTAGCAGAACCACCGCTCTCCACCGCCATGGCTCCCAACCACACCAAAACAGACCAGCCCGTCTACCTCCGCATCTTCGGCTTTGATCTTCATTGCGACGCCCTCACGAGCAACGACCACAACACTTCCCAAGTCGACCGCGTAGCTACCTACAATGCCTACCGCACTCAATACGCTGTACAGCCCTACCACTCTGTCCCCGCAGTAGAACTCTACCGCGATCAGCGCAACGCTGGGCTACTCTACATCTTGATCGCAGCTGGCGCGGTAGCAGCTCTCGTAATTGGAGTTGCAATGCTCTTATTCGGATTTATGCTGTTCATGTTCGCTGTTTGTTGGATTGTGGCATTCATGGTCGTTGTCGGATTGATGTGCTCGGTTATGTAAGGTAGATATAGATTGGGTGAGAAGTGAGCCAGCAGTGTGAACGACGGGAAGGAAGACAGGACTTATGGCAGAGCTGGCTCATATTGTTAATCGAGAGACGAAGAGCAGTTTCCAGTCAGCACGCAACTCGGATATAGTTCCAAGCTTGAGAATTGATGAGAAGAAAGTCGGGTATGCTAGGTGGTGTTCTTTGCTGTATATGCATGAACTCGAAACATGCACTCAATCTCATCCGATACTCCAGCTAGCCTCACAGTCCAGGAAGTCACGTTCGGGTGCGGTTAGACCACCTGGACAAGTCCGGGCGCTCTTTCCTCTTCACGTTGCCGCCTGCTCACTATTTACTCGTTCCGCGAGCTCTCTTCTACGACTGCTCAAATACTCCTTCCACCCAGTGCTGACTGTGCAAGAACCAAATATCTACACTGCCCTTTCCCACGCTGCCATGAGTCTGCCACCCCTTAGCAACACTGAAACGCTCCTTCCTAACTTCCCAGCAGAGCGACCACTCTTACCTGCTAGGAACGCCTCCGATGGCGAAACCGACTACTCCACGGATGATAACCTCTCGAGCACCGGGTCTGACGGTTGGGTTGACTTTGGCCGCGGCGATTTGTACGAGGACATCTGCGACGACGACGACGACGACAACAACAACAACAAAAACAACGATGACAACAAAAACCATACCACCTACGTCAAGATCAAATCCAAAACTGGCGCATCCAGCCGGGTGAAGCCGCCCATCGTCTCTGCCAAGCATCTTTCGTCTCGCTCAAGAGCAAAGCACCGCGATTCTACCACTGACCACCGCGACTTCATTGTCTGCTTCATGATGATAATAGTCATTCTGGCGCTGTTGCTACCTGAGCGAACATTCGTTTTCTGCGAACTGGTGGGCTTCGTACTGGCCGAGGTTGCATCAATCTTGATCGAGGCAAAAATTCTCCGATTTGTATTAGCTGTGGTGTTGTTCACTGTGGCGAGCCTCAAGAAGCAGAACCCGTGAAAAGGAACAGGACGCGAAGAACAAGGGTATGTGAGGAAAGGAGATGAAATGAGACGCACTTGTTCTTGTTCAGAGGAACAATGATCGCTTCTAAGCGAAGGTATCACGGAGACAAAATCGAAGTTACTAGATGGTATCATTTGCTGCATATGCATGAGTAGAGTGAGTCGACTATTACTGGGTCTCCTCAACATATCCCAAGGCCTCTCCAACCTTGACCTTCATTCCTTGTTCAATGTTCCACTTGAACCCACCCTTCCTCTCCATACCCGTGAAGCCCTCATCGAGGCTGGGTCTTATGCCCTTTGGCGCCTCGAACACCAAAACGATAGTACTTCCTAGCTGGAAGCCACCCATCTCTTCACCGCGCTTGAGAGAATAACCGCCTAGTACGCGACTAGCGGAGGTGTAGGAGGCCTCGGCAAAACCGGAGTAGGGCTCACCACGAGCTGCAGCTTCTTCAGCGGCGCGATCGGCGGCAGTGTCGGTGGTGAGGCTGTTGGTGCGGAGTTCGCGATCGAAGTTGATCTTGATAGATCCGACGTTGGTTGCGCCGACGGGTGTGTAGGAGAAGAAACCCCAGCGCCAGCGACCGAGTAGGACAACGCGCTCGTTCAAGGTAAAAAGACCGGGCATGGTGCGTTGTAGGTATGGAGATACACTGTATAGTTCACCGGCGAAGTGACGGCGCGATTCCACGACCCATGATACCGGAGAGTGGAAACGGTGGTAATCGCCAGGCGCGAGGTATACGACGCAGTAGTAGAGTGCGGTAGGTGTCTTATTGGATGCCGGTGCCCACCAAGGGCGCTCAGCTTCGCTCAAGGCCATTTCAGCGCGTACCTCGGCTTCTGAAGAAGCAGCTGGTGCGGTGGACTGGTCCGTGGGCATCTCAGACGGCTTTCCGCCTTTTGGCCATGGTCCTGAGAATAGGTTGGGCAAGGTATACGAGATGCCATTCACGTTTGCGAATTCTTCATCTGCGCGGACAGTATCCTCTTCGTCCTTCGCTGTCTTCTCATGCTCGCTTGTGACGACCTGAGAGTTCGCGACGTTTTGGGCGGGTGTGCTGGGCTTGGTGGAGCCTAGAAGCGCATCTAAGCTGTATGTCACGCCTTTGACTTGTTCGACTTCGCCGTGCTCGATAGTACCGAATTGGATGACTTTGCCGTCTGCGGGAGAAAGGACGGCGTTGGGGTTCGGGTCGAGAGGGCGGACTCCGGGTTTTAGGGTGCGGTAGAAGAAAGCAGCGAGATTGGGGTAGACGTGGAGGTCGGGCTCGGAGACTTCAGAGAGGCTGTGACTTGTTAGCATTGGATGCCACTACTAGGCTGATGGTTGCTGACTTGACACCGAAGATCCAAGAGTAGAGCTTGAAGCCGGGTACGCGAAGGTAGTATGGAATGTCGATTTCGTTGAAGCGTCCCCAAACTCGCGAGAGGGCCTTGAGAGGTAGCGTGGACATGACCTGGACCGTCCATGGCCCGCTCGGCCGTATCCTCTCGCGCTTCTTCGGTCGGCCCTGGTTGTCCACTGCACCTTCCTCGCCATTCTGTCTCTCAGCCTCGGTATGCTTTTCTCTCCTCTGTATGCGATAGAGCTGGAATGCGCCGAGGAAGCCGACGCCGAGTGCAATTGGTATTGGCTCCCATTTTATCTTGGTGTTCTTGAGTGCGGAGTTCAGCCGTGACCTGAAGGACTCTTTCCTGTGGAAGTTCTGCTCATATGTTGCGCGCGTGGAGGAGAAGGTGCGAGACGGGACGGAGAGGCGCGCCTGTCGGTGTGTGGGCGTTTGGAAGCGCGGGCGGAGAGGGCCTCGCATGAGCTGGCGCGAACAGGAAGACGCCATGGCTATGTTGTATGCATTGGTCTCAAAGTTGCAGTGCGGAAAACGGCCAATTCCCCAGCGACGAGATGACGGCTATGGCGTCGCGTGGTGGGAAAATCAACTTCCTCGGTTGGCCAATGACGTATCCATCGGCGACGGGGCTCTAGCGCGCAACGGCGTCTACCGCTGGATATGGACAGTTCAATGCATCGCGTGCACAGGTCAAGCTTCTCGAAACATCCAAAGTCGAGGCGGCACTGACGCTCAGATTATCCGCCTGGACTTCATAGCAGATGGCAGGCGCGACCGTGGTCCTAAGCTGATACCAGGCTCTAATTCGGACACGTCGTCACTTCCCGACTTCCACCTGCACTCTCCACCTCGCACCATAGTCCCTCACTACACACAGCGGCCATGGCGGAAGAAGCGCAGACAGTCAACCTCAAGATCCTTTCACCCTCGTCTGATTTCGAGGGTGGTGTGAACCTCGCAGACGTCCCCGCTTCCACCACGGTCAAAGAGCTCCGGAGCCGCATACAGGATGCCGCGCCCTCGAAGCCTGCCCCAGAGCGCATGCGCCTCATCTATCGCGGCAGAGTAGTGGCCAATGATGCCGACACACTGAGCAATGTGTTTGGCGTGGACAATGTAGGGTCGCCAACCACGTGCGGTAGACCCACGCTGATGGTGAATACAGCTACGTGAGAACAAGGACCAGAGCCTCCACTTGGTTCTGCGGGAGCTCCCGACTACTGGGAACCCTCCAGCGTCACCTACGCCACGATCCGCGACTGTCCCGAACCCTTTCCGCCCTGCGCAAGCCCCGGCTGTACCCGCAAACCCTCTGCAGACGAACCCATTCCGCGCGCTGCCACAGGCTCGACCGCACTCGCTGCCACCACTACCACCGCACCACCATCATATCCCGGGCCAAGCAAACGCGGTTCCCATTCCTCTCCCTCTTCCCCCACAACTGCAACAACAGTTCACGCAGGCCATGGCGCAACAGGGACAGCAGAACAACGAGCCGACTCCAGATTCGACATCCCAGCAGCCAGGACCAGACGCACCGAGACCCGCGGACGCCGCTCAAGGACTGCCCAATCTCCCTGGAAATGGCGACCAACCATTACGACGCGAAGGCATGGGCCCTAACGGGGCGCGATGGACAGTCACATACAATCAGGTCAATATACCTGCGCAGATTCGACAGCCCGTTCCTGCATTCGGTCTTGCTCCACCGCTAGCGTTTGGTCGTCCACCGGTCCCGCCGGGCGTTATTCCCTCAATGGGCCACGACAGTACCCAGCGCTTGTTGCCACGCATCCAGACAATCTTCCAGGAAGCACAACGCGAGATGGAGAACGTGCGAACCTTGCTGCAGCCTGCGCGTCCATCGGAGACACAGACTGATCGACTTTCGCTTTCAAACACCTCTCCCCTGAACCTACCAGTTTGGCGAATCGATCACATCCGCCAACACCTCAACACCATCAACCAGAACTTGAACGTTGTCGAGCGGGCCCTCGCCCTTCTCCCTACAGAACCCGAGGTGGTAGCGTTGAGACGCTCAGTAACCGAGATTAGAGTGGACGCACTAGAATTGAACATCATACTCGATCGTCAACAAGGCGGAAGCCCCAGTCGATCAAGCATGTCCACAGCCATCAACACTCCGATTCTCGGACCTTCCTCTAGCACAATACCAGGCGCTCCGATAATGACTCCAGCTGTGCCTACTACATCTCAACCACGGACACAGAACACTACTCAGGCAATGCCTGCAGATGCGCCAACGGAGTTGTTTCTCTTATCAAGCCCTCAGGGCCCGGTTGGCGTTCTATTCGATCAGCAAGGCACATACACCACTGCCCCCATGGTCTCGACACTTCCATTTCAGAGTTTTACGAACCAGTTTGCTCAGAACAGACAGCTCCTCAATGGCCTTGGACAGCAGATAGCACGGGGGAATCCGCCCCCTAACCTTGAGCTGCCCAGGCAGCTAGCCAACATGAGCCAGACCCAACGTCGGGACTGGATCCAGAATCAAAACCAAACCCAAAACCAGAATCAAAATCAAAATCAGAATCAAGATGAGAATCAGAACCAAAATCAGAATCAAAACGCGAACGTAAACGTAAACCAACCCGAAGAGAACGATCGTATGGTCAACGTCGCTGGGCATATGTGGCTGATCTTCAAGCTGGCAGCATTCGTTTACTTCTTCTCAGGAGGTGGTGGCCTCTATAGACCTATCATGCTTGGTATCGTCGCAGGTGTGGTTTACCTAGCACAAGCCGGCATGTTTCAAGAGCAGTTCAACGTTGTTCGTCGTCACTTCGAGGCTCTTCTCCCTGTCGGAGCCTTGGCCGAACGCGTGGCTCAGCCCAACAACCAGCGCCAAACGCAACATCGAGGTAACCTATCACCCGAGGAAGCTGCGAGGAGAATACTGCAGCAGAGGAGAGATCAGAGATTTGGATGGTTCAGGGACAGCATGCGTACAGTCGAACGCGCTTTTGCGCTGTTTGTTGCCAGCTTGTTTCCTGGTGTTGGAGAGCGGATGGTCCACGCGCAAGAGGAGAGGGAGAGACTCGAAAGGGTGGCAGCTCGAGAAGAGAGGGAACGCCAGGAGGAAGAGGCGAGAAGAAGGGAAGAAGAGGCCCAAGCACAGCGCGAGCAGAGAGATGAAAAGAAGACCGAGGCCGATCTCGAGCCACAAGATGAGTCGAATGCAAGTGTAGGCACCAAGGGCAAGGAGAGGGCAACGACAGAGGAAGAGGCTACTGCTCCGGGTCCTTCTTCATGATTTTATAAAGCGACATCATTACACGGAAGTAGCAATGCTCAGACAGATACCCTTGCATGAAGTCAATACAATTTCATTCACATTGCACCCTGGAATATGTCTCATGCGGTGCTACCTACCAAATTTCGGTGCCACATCAGTCTTGTATACGCTCGCCAGCAGCGAGCCATAGTACGTGTAGAGTCTGCCATACCTTCAGTCCGATCATATCTTATTTCAAATCATGTTTCGGTATGGATAATCTCTGTCGGCGGCGGTGCAGGATATTGCGAATGTCTGACCCGGGGCGCGCCTGCCATGTTCAAGACAAGGGTCCATACTAGCGCACAACTAGCTAGCTCACCTCCACACGTGGATTGATGCACCGAGCAGCTCTCCGGCACCTCCATCTTCTTTCCTTTTGCCTAACATCGCATCACAGGATCGGGTCTTGGAAACATTCTTTTCGGAGCCCAGCGAACAGGCCGTGCTTGCTCTACATATCCGACGCTGGAGACCATATACGGTTAGCCACACTATGCCGGCGGCTTCCAGTCCAGGCAGAGGAACAACCATAAATCATCGCGCAACATAGAGAAGCGTCAAAGAATGAATGCCAAACAAGCGGCATGTCTGAATTGCCGCAAAAGCAAAATCAAGTGTCGGCGCGAAGAAGGCGCGCCAATATGCGAGCGTTGCCAGAACGTCGGGATTGAATGCATAATTCCTGAATTTCACATTGGTCGGCAAAAGGGCGTGAAGAAGTAAGTAATTAGACATGAGTATATGGGTGAGACTAACTATCTTATAGCAAACGATCGGGCCTAGAGAAGGCGATATACCAGGTTGAGGAAGCCATCAAAAAGAGGAAATCGGATGCAGCTACGAGTCAGAGTACGCTGCAGCAACTGCAGCAGCTTCTGAACGAGGCGCAAGGGGACGAAGTCTCCACCCAAAACCCAAACACATCGCCTGCCTCAGAGGTGCATCCTCACATATCAGCTAGTAATCTTGTTGGTACTTCAAGCGACGATCAACTCGCTGTTGAAGATGTCGAAAACCCACTCCAACTGCTCGCCCGGGCCTCAGATCTGCGGATTGCAACACCACAGTCATACAACCAGAGTACCGCCAGCCCTGAAGACAGATTCAATGGTAGCCAGCAGAGCGCTTTTCTCGACGTTCACCACTTTTTCCTGCCAATGAAAGCACATCTTGATCAGGGATCAGGCTTAGATCCGATTGATGTTGGGCTTGTGACCAAGGATGAAGCTGAGATGCTTCTACAGTAGTAAGTTTCGCCTCAAACCTCAATCTGGACACAGGATATTAACTTGTAGAACCTAGCTTCCACAAGAAACTAGCACACACACGTTGGGGACTCGACCCGTTGGTACATACGCTGCCATTCGTTCGAAACCGCTCTGCCTTTTTGTTCACTACCTTGCTAGCCATGACCGCCATTTTCCTACCGGAAACTTCGGCGCTGGCAAAGAGACTACTACTGCACCGTAGATTCCTAGCCGAGCAAGTCATTACCCGAAAGTACAGATCTGTTGAAATTGTGCTAGCTTTCATGGTCAGTATTCCTTGGATGCCTCCAGGGTCGCATGCGAGCGACGACGACACGAGCCTCTATCTAGCTACAGCGCTTTCGATCGCGTTAGATCTCATGCTAGACAAAGTGATAACGCCATCGACATCGTTCGATCAGGAGCTTGTCAGACAGATACCGAAGTCAGAATGTCTTCACGCAAGAAAAGCACTGGCGATGGACGGCTTCGAAGACGTCGACCCGAATTCGGAATGGGGCCAGCGGCTTCTTCGCCGCAGAGAAAGAGTATGGATTTCCCTGTTTGTCTTGGAGCGTGGAGTCTGTCTAGCCCGCGGGCGCAGCTACTGTGTCCCTAAGACATGCCTGATCCAATACTGCGACAAGTGGCACGACCATCGATGGAGCGATGCTCAGGATGGCCCGCTTGTGTCCATGGCAGTTCTCCGCCGCGATCTTGACGACCTCTTTGCTGAGGTCCGCACGCGCTGTGACAACTATCGTCTTGCAGAAGTAGGGACGAAGGTCGCTCAGGAGATCGACGGGTCTATCGAGAGCTTCTTCGACAGCTGGTCTCGCGCCTGGCCCTCCGTAATCGCTGATCCGGAGAGCAAAACACTACCTCCATATGTCGAAATCCTTGTTACACACACGCGGCTTTCAACCTACTCAATGCTCCTCAACCACCCTAGCGCACCTCCAGAAGTCAAACGTTCTTTCCGAAAGTCTGCACTATCTTCCGCACTCAACGTTATGCGTGCGGCGATTCAAGGCGAGTCACGTCTCAAATCGATGCCGAACAACACCGTCACGATGATTTGCTTCGCTGCAAGTATAGCGCTCGCTTTGAGTGCACCCGTGCCGGAGGCCGGCGGAAAGCAGAAGAGCCTTGCTCCAAGCGTTCGACATCTCATTGAAGATACCGCAACAGTTCTTGAGCGTATAGGCGGCACACCCATCCACCGGAACGGAGCTTCGGTTGTCTACGGTCGTTTCTTACGCGTTCTCGTCAAGCAGGCGCCGGAGATCGAGAGGCTACCACAATTGCCAGTCCACGATCCTGCACCACCGTCGATGGCCATACCAGATCTTCTATCGCCGTCATACAAGGTGAATGATGCGATGCCTGAAAACCATACGATGGGGCCAGATCCTATATCCAGCTACTGGCCGGATACACTAGACTTCTCAGCCATGTCGTACAATGAAGTCAACGAGACTGTGACGAACTCGGATCTGTTCTCCACAGCGTTACTGGATCTTCCGTGGAACGATAGCAACCCATTGTGGACAGATTGGATGAATCTGCCGGACTTCAACTTCCCGTAAAGTAGTGCGCGATCCAGTTTAACGAGCTCTCGTTATTTTTATGGGCTTCTCAGGAACTCTGAAGGGATCCGAGACAGGCAAAGCCATCTCCCGCTGCCCAGAACCTCGCGTCGGCGCGTGATACAGCGGATGGAGACGGGACGCGTCGCCAAGCGCGAAGGAACTGAGAGAGGGGCGCGACCTCGGAAATCGCCAGAAGCTAAACCTCATGTGATTCCGCGGCAGATGAAGCCCCGCACCAAGCTCGAAAGTCGCTCCATCTTCGGTAGTTGAAATGACGCCGATGGATGTCAAATGTATGACGTTAGAGCTGTTGCGCGGTCCACGCACGCGTCCGATGGCGTTCCTTCGGATAACAGTCGCAAAAGCTTTGCCCATACTCCCAGAGTCGGTGCTTCTTGAGTCTCCTTAACTGATGATTTAACTTCACTGTTCTGCTGCTTTTGTTCACGCGCGTCACAATGGATTCATTACCTTCGTCGTACCGGCTGCTCGCAGCTCTGCCAGCGCGGTTATGTTCACAACGACCTCTCCCCACACAACTACGAGCCGCACGACTCCCACCGCGATGGCGATTCACCGGTCAACTGCGAAGCATCAGTCAAAGCGCTCCCATGATCGACCGCTCTAAATCGAAGCTTTTCAAAGATGCAGATGAAGCGGTCGCAGACGTACAACCGGGGTCCACAGTCTTGAGTGCGGGCTTTGGATTATGCGGTGTTGCAGACACGCTCATCGGAGCGATGAAGAAGCGCGGCCCGCAGTCGCTACACTCCTTGACAGCCGTCTCCAACAATGCTGGAATTGAGGACGTAGGAGGCTTAGCGCTACTTACAAAAAGTGGACAAGTCAAGAAGCTCATCATCAGCTTTCTGGGAAATAACAAGGCGTTGGAGAAGCAGTATTTGGGCGGTGATATCGAGATTGAGTTATGTCCACAGGGTACGCTTGCGGAGAGGATAAGAGCTGGCGGTGCGGGCATCCCAGCATTCTACACACCCACCGCTGTCAACACGCTGCTACAAGATGGAGAGATCCCCGCAAAGTTTGATAAAGACGGAAAGGCCGTTGGCTTTGGTCAAAAGAGGGAGGTCAGAGAGTTCAATGGCAAGAAGTTCCTCATGGAGACTGCTTTGACCGGCGACGTTGCGATAATTCGAGCGCACAAGGCCGACGAGGCTGGCAACTGTGTCTTCAGGTAAGAGACGTTTCTCTCCGGTGCCCCGAGCATTGTTTCTGACAGCGACTGTAGATACACCACCAAAGCCTTCGGCCCCATCATGGCCAAAGCGGCCCGCCTCACCATCGTCGAAGCCGAAGAGATCGTCCCAATCGGTACCTTTGACGCGAACGACATCGACCTCCCCGGCATCTTCGTCGACCGCATCGTTCCTTCCACAGCTCCCAAGAACGTCGAGATCAAGAAGCTCCGGAAACCCGCTGCTTCATCGGATGCATCATCCAAGAACGAGGCGGCAGAGCGTCGCGACCGAATCGCTCGCCGAGCAGCGAAGGAGCTGAAACAAGGATACTACGTGAACTTGGGTGTCGGCATCCCAACGGCAGCAGCGTCTTTCGTGCCCGACGGCGTGAAGGTGTGGCTACAATCCGAGAACGGTATCTTGGGCATGGGCCCCTACCCGACCGAGGAGGAGCTCGACCCAGATATCATCAATGCCGGAAAGGAGACAGTCACACTCCTGCCTGGCGCCTCAACATTCGACTCTGCAGAGTCATTCGGCATGATCCGTGGAGGCCACGTCGATGTCTCTATCCTAGGCGCTCTCCAAGTCAGCGCCTCTGGCGACCTAGCAAACTACATGGTACCCGGAAAGGTGTTCAAGGGCATGGGTGGCGCCATGGATCTCGTCAGCAACCCAGAAGCCACCAAAGTAGTGGTCGCTACTGAGCACGTCGCAAAGGACGGATCAAGCAAGATTGTTCAGGAATGCAAGCTGCCGTTGACGGGAGCCAAGTGCGTCAGCACCATCATTACAGATATGTGTGTATTTGAAGTCAACCGGAAGCGTGGTACTTTGACGCTTACCGAGACCGCGCCTGGTGTGAGCGTCGAGGATGTCAAGGCAAAGACAGATGCTAGCTTTGAGGTTGCGCCTGATCTTAAGACCATGGAGTAGACATTTTGTGTAGTTTTGGCGTAGCATACCCAAGTGATGATCGTTGTCAATTTCCACACACAGCCTATCTTGAGTCGTGATGCAATTGTGAGGAAACGCGAGCCATACGACAAACCTGAAAGAATTGACCGTTTTACGCGTCATTTGATCGTCGCAGGCTGTTTGATCATCCAACAGATGTCTCATGACCCTACCAGAAAAACAAAGCATGGCGATTGCGATAGCCAGATCGTCGGTTACCCAAAGTGCAAGCTTGGTGCTTTTGGTCGCTTCCGATAACAGCGCGTGCTGTGATGCGCGCGCAATCTCCAAGACAGAACGTTGCGTTACCAGAAAAGAAGCTTCAGACTATATTTCCATCGCACCTGGGCATGCAACAAAACCGTTGACGATCTCCCACGACACTGGCACCTGGGAGTTCATCGTCGAGTTGGCATACCGAATTTCGGGGGCAGCCAAGCTGTCCAAGTGGGCGGCTGAAAGGCTTCGCACTGCTTGGTCCACGCTCCATCCAGCACCTGGGCACAACGAAAAGCTTGGTACCGCCGATCCGCGATCAGCCCTCCACATGCGCTTTCATCAACAAACCACAAAACCCGCCATGTCATACCTACATGGCTACACTCATCCGAGCTGCTATCCGCGACTCCTCCCTTATCTAATCCACGTCGGATTACAAAAGCCTTCGGAAACAGAACAACATCCGCAGCTCGTACAGCTAACGCCCGAGTCAGTAACGCTGATGTCAAGCCTGCCGATCGCTTGTCTGCCTTAAGAGCGCTATGCATGGTTTGGCATGGTTCAAGCATAAGCTTGGTGCAGTCGGGGTAGCCCTTCACTCGTCGGCAGCACAACTCCGCCAATCGCACGACAGATAATCCCGATTGTGCCGTAACCCTTGCGCCCGCCCCCATGGGGTCAGCATGGGTAGCGCCGTTTCTGGGCAGTTTGGGGGGCGGCGGTGGTTGCGGTGTACATGGCGCTACCGGGAGCCCGTTGAGGAGGGAGGGGGAATAAGTAAGCTGGTCGCGCACTCGAGGTTTCTTTGTCAACGCTTTTCTTGAGCTGCGTTCCAGATTCTGTTTTCTCTGCTTGTACCGATTGGGGTTTCTGAGGTTGTTCAACATGAGCCTTGATAAGATGCACGATGAGAAATTCGAGAATGGGAGTGGGAGTGAGCGGTTGGAGGCGGGGTTTGGTGAGGATGGGAAAGCAGCGAAGACACTGTTGTTTAAGATGGATATCCGGTATGTTTAACTTCTTCGATCTACTACATTCTTCCAGAAGCATGGCGCTGACAGGCACAGCATCCTACCCGTTCTCGCTCTCCTCTTCCTGTGCTCCTTCATCGACCGTACGAATGTCGGCAATGCGAAGATCTTGGGTCTTGAGAAGGACATCAACATCAACGATCACCAATACTCGATCGGCCTATGCGTCTTCTACGCTACGTATATCGCCAGTGAGCTCCCGTCGAACCTGGTGCTGAAGAAGATGTCGCCAAAGATCTGGCTGCCGCTCTTGACGGCGGTGTGGGGGATCTTGACAATGTGCCTTGGTTTCGTCACCAACTTCGCGTCATTCGTTACTGTTCGCGCATTGCTTGGTTGTGCTGAGGGTGGATTGTTGCCGGGCATGGTACTCTACCTTACTGGCTTCTACCGCAGACAAGAGTTGGCTTTGCGCATCGGTATCTTCTATACAGCAGCGTCCCTATCGGGTGCTTTTGGTGGTCTGCTGGCGCGCGGACTCAATGCGATTGGACCTGCTGGAGGTCTTGAAGGGTAAGAGACAGACCCTCACTTCTAACAACCGATATCTAACTGTACAAATAGTTGGCGGTGGATCTTCATTGTGGAAGGCCTTTTGACCGTACTCGTTGGCGTATGCTCCGCGCTCTTCCTACCCAACTCCATCGAATCAGCCAAATTCCTCACTCCCGACGAGAAAGAGCACGCTCGATTCCGGCTCGGCGAGCAAAGCGCATCCCACGAGCGCTTCGACTGGGCAGAAGTCAAGCGCGGAGTATTCAACGTCCAAGTCTGGCTCACTGCATTGGCCTACTTCGCCATCTTGAGCGGACTATACAGCTTCGGTCTCTTCCTCCCCACCATCATCAACAACGGCTTCGCCAAGGACCCCAACGAGGCACAGCTCTGGACCGTAATTCCGTACGCCGTGGCATCAGTTTTTACAGTAGCAGTCGCTCTCCTATCCGATCGTCTTGCTCTACGTGGTCCCATCATGCTATGTACCCTACCTGTTGCCATAATCGGCTACGGCGTCATCAGCCAATCCACCAACCCCAAGGTCCAATACGGCATGACTTTCCTCATGGCAACCGGCATGTACGCAACTGTACCGTGCATCCTCTCTTGGAACAGCAACAACTCTGCTGGCCACTACAAGCGCGCGACTACTTCTGCCTTGCAGCTCGCTATTGCGAATGCAGGTGGTTTTGTGGCCAGCTTCGTGTATCCAAAGAGCGAAAAGGAGAATCATTTCCACAAGAGTCATAGCATCATGTTGGGACTGCTTTGCGCGGCTTGGGTTCTGTAAGTTTTTTGAGATCTTAGCTTTGGTTGGAACTCCCTACTAACGTGTCGATAGGATTGCTGCGAATGTTTTGTGGGTGCGGAAGATCAATAAGGATAAGGCGAGTGGGAAGTATGCTGAGTTTGAGGGTAGAGGTGACGACCGTGACCCGGACTTCATCATGGTTATGTAGATTCATCAATGAAGTGGCTACATCGTCGCCTAGTCTATTCAGAGCGAGCAACCATTCAAGCAGTGTCCCCATACTGCGTGATGTAATCTAAGGGACTGATCTAAGGATCTCCAGGGTGTTGAGTCTTTTCCTAGGTTGACGTGCTTCCACGTCCTCATGAAGTGCAAGCAACTCAACCCTCCACGCCATCGCCAGACGTGACCGACTTCTGCTTCTGCACCCCATCCTGCTCATTCTTCGATTTCTCCTCGTCGACCTGGGTGAGATTCTCCTGTTCCTTCTCCCAACCCACCAACCATTTGCACTTGGAGTCATCAGGAGCCAAATACAAAGGACGCGTAACAGCCAGCCGCCAATAACCCATACTCCTATCACTAATGCTGATCTGTGGGTCTTCGAATGTGCGTTCGAGCGCATCAAAGAAGGCCATGCACTCAGTCTGTAGGCCCAGAACGCGAAGGCACCGGAGGATGCGCGTGATGCGAAGATGGTTATGGTCGAACCTAATGGCCCAGTTGGCGAACTTCTTGCGATAATCTGGCGCGCGGACGATGTGGTATGGAAGGGGTTTGGATGCGGAGATGTTTGTGTGGGCACCTGGTGGGAAAGAGGCTGTTTCAGACGATTCGCTTTGCTTGGCCTCCGCTTCTGACTTGTTGGATATCATGAAGCCGTAGAAGCTGAGCATGCGCTCGAAGCTTCGTCGTAGGTTCTGCCGTAGCTCACTCCGTGAACGGAAGGCTTGCATTACTTCGAGGTTGACGACTGGGGCCTGTGTATGGTCAACATATTGCCAAAGTGATTGAATACATCGTTGCATTCTCGCTGTACCCTGGAGGTATTCATGAGGCTGCAATTCGACATGTGTGGATTTCCACCATGGCGAATACCTCCCGGGTACGACATCAGTAAACGGGAAGGCTTACTTCACTGTTGTATGGAGAACCCTCTGGAAGCGGAAAGAGCATCTGAACATAGTTATGGGACGCTTCCAGCCTGCTGTCTGGCCATGCCAGTATCTCATCGAGTTGCCGACTGAGGGCGTCCTTGGCGCGTACATCGGGGTCGTAGAAGCGGACGATGAGTTGGCTCTTGCCTGCGGTCGCAGCCTGATCAGCCTTTGAGGCATCCGACAGGACCATTTTCGCGCGCTTGTTGAATACGATTGATATTGGATGTTGAAGTCGCAAACAATGTATAAATTATGGGTGAGAGGTCAGAAGTACGCAGGTAAGGCTGCACCCTCACGCCGTGTACCTAGGTAGAGTGCGCCTTCCCTGGACCGGACTAGCTCCATCGCGCCTTTAGGGCTTTCCCTTCCCCGCCAAAACGCAAAGGCATGACTGCTACAACTTGATGAAAGAACATGGTGCGCGAATTGTGAAGTCAGAAGGTCACGTTGTTATTGGATTATTCTGTCTACCAAAATAATCCTGATGTAGGCTGCAGAGACCTGTGTAGACTCCGCCGCGGCTGTCGCAACAGCGACGATCTTTCCGCAAATGTCCGCATGCAACCTAGAGACACTACATACTACCTGGGTAGCCGCGGGTGGCATCGCGCTAATGGTACCGCGATTGTCGTCGTCCTTCGTTCACACTCTGGCGACGTGTCTTCGCCCCATTGAAGCCCTGGAGTCCGCGGGATGAAAGCTGAACGCTGACGTCATCCGCGCAGATTGTTGAACAGCGCCGCTTCCAGGCCCCATTCACCACCCGTGCGCCGTACTTGGACGCTTGGTAGCCAGCGCAAACGCAGGGTACATGATAGACAAACCTGCTCAGCCCCTACCAACGCAGGATTATTCACGCGCTATCAGCGATGGTGTTTTCCTTAAATCTGACTATGGCACTGGCGAAGACTCTGCTTGCTCAACCAAACTCCTCTGCTACCCACAACTATTTGGAAACAACTCTCTCTGATACAGGAGATATATATTGAGATTCATAATGAGCTCCGAAGGTGGGTGCTAACGGTATTCGTTCCCGATGTCCAACCTAACCAATTCCTAGAACGGAAGCCCACACCAGAGAATGGCACCCTATTCCAGGGTTTCGAATGGAACGTCCCGGACGATCACAAGCACTGGCGGCGCCTTGCCGAAGAGCTTCCTAAGCTAAAAGCCATCGGTATTACCAACATATGGCTACCCCCTGGCTGTAAAGGTGCGAACCCTCAGGGCGTTGGCTACGACATCTACGATCTGTACGACCTCGGCGAATTTGATCAGAAAGGTCAAAAGGGAACCAAATGGGGAACTAAAGAAGAGCTACTCGAACTTACGAAGGTCGCCAAGGAGCATGGCGTGGGCCTATACTGGGATGCCGTATTGAACCACAAGGCTGGAGCCGACCAAACGGAGAAGTGCCGTGTTGTGGAAGTTGACCAAGATGATCGCACTAAGGAGGTTTCTGATGCCTTCGAAATCGAGGGATGGCTAGGCTTCGATTTTCCGGGCCGTGGCGAGCAATACTCCAAGATGAAATACCACTGGGAGCATTTCTCAGGTACCGATTGGGACCAAGCCACGGAGAAGAAAGCCATCTATAAGATTCTAGGTGAGAACAAAGGCTGGTCGCAATCCGTGGATGATGAGCAAGGCAACGCGGACTACATGATGTTTGCCGACATTGACTACTCGCACCCTGAGGTTCAAGAAGACGTCAAGAACTGGGGCGTGTGGATCACTAAAGAGCTTGGCTTGAAGGGCTTCCGGCTCGACGCTGTGCAGCATTTCTCCTCAAGATTTACCAATGAATGGATCAAGAACTTGCGCAAACAGTGTGGAGACGACATCTTCGTGGTCGGCGAGTTCTGGTCGGGAGATGTAAAAGAGATGAGCGATTGGCTCGACGATATGAACCACGAGTTCGCTCTCTACGACTCGCCTCTCCTGAACAACTTCGGGTCCATCTCGACAAGCGAATCGGCGGACCTGAGGAAGGTCTACGATAATACACTCGTTCAAATGCGTCCTACCGATGCTGTTACGGTCGTTACAAACCACGACACACAACCTGGGCAGGTGATGGAGACCAAGATCGAGGGCTTCTTCAAGCCTCTTGCCTACGCTCTCATTCTGCTGAGGCAGGAAGGCTACCCATGCCCATTCTACGGCGATCTTTACGGTCTCTCAGAGCCGCATGAGACCCCTGCCTCATGTGGTGGAAAGCTCGCTGATCTCATTCTCGCACGAAAACTCTTCGCGTACGGAACACAGGAGGACTACTTCAACGAAGCCAACTGCATCGGGTTTGTGCGTCGTGGAACATGGGACAGGAAAGCGGGTCTGGCGTGTGTGATGAGCAACGCAGGTCCCGGTCAGATCAAGATGGCTGTTGGCGAGATGCATGCCGGTGAGAAGTGGACTGACATCCTTGGGTGGGAGGAGAGTGAGGTCGAGATAGACAGCGAAGGTTATGGACTGTTCAACTGCCCAGGCACCAGTGTCGCGGTCTGGGTGCGAAGCGATGCTGAAGGGCGGGACCAATTTCCTACAAACTTCGATGCGAACGTATACCACAAAGATTAGATAGGCGGCATTTTGTTGTAGAATGCGACGGGGAGGGCTGCGAACACCCTGAGTGTGTATCGCCTCTCTGAAGAATTGAATACTGCGCCTGACAGACTGGCGGTGTGGACCTTATCAAGCCTCAAACTGCTTGCTTTTCTCTTATCAAGACCCTGTGCGCCGCAATCCAAGGGTTGCAACTCATGGAACCTGCGGGAAGATGGTTGGGGAGATCGGCGACGAACCTTCCGCTTCGGGACCAGCGCGGAACCAATCAATCGCGACAACGCCGACCATTTTAGACGTTTCGCGGCGTTTCTCTAGTAAGCGAGCATGCAGCGTACCCGCCGACAGTGTATACTCAATTCTCAGGGTTGCAGGAGCGTCTATTGACGTCTACACAACATAGCCAACGGCTCCGTGATGCCGGAACTTGTTGCATGTGACATGTGACCCCCGCGATCGCTATGTCTAGATCGTGGGTCTCGTGTCAGGGCACGCGCATCAATTTAACTCCGCTCCTCCGCTTTTCTAGCTTCTGTCGCCCTCGACGAGCCGAACACTCACAGCCCCTTTGATTCTTTTCTTCAGACGTCTACTCTGCCCTGCGTTTCTAACGACGAGCGCCTCGCTGCAGACTTCCCATGTCGCTGATTCAGCATGTTACACAGCAAGAGGGCACTGATCGCGAGGAGGCGTTGGTAGATTTGTTCTTACCGCCTGTCGACCGCCAGATTAGCCGACAGGATGCTGCGGAACGTCGGCTTTCTCTTGAGAGCGCCATCTCGGGAGCTGGCTTCTTGAGCGCACAAGGAAAGAGCGTGAGGAGAGTTATCAGTTACGACATAATACCCAAGCCGGAGGAGCTCGCACCGGGCGAGGAACCTGGAGGCTTGACGCCATACAAGGTGCCGACGGGCAAGCGTATCGGTAAGTTTGGCTGCATCGCATTCGCCTTCTGACCACTAACATGCGATTACAGCACAGGTTATCGTAACGGTTCTTGCGTGTTGGTTCGCTAGCGGCATCGTTTTCGGTTTTGCAGCTTTGAAGCCAATTCTTATCAAGGAAGGCGTTTTCAGCAATCTGTGCACACCCGAAGAGGTGGATGCCGACGTTGAAGTTTGCTTCGAGCAAGATCTCAGGTTGAACTTCTTTTTTTCTTTGGCATCGACTACGGCGAATGTTTCTGCTCTCCCCGTCGGTACCCTGCTCGATCGCTATGGGCCCAAGCTTTGCTTCCTTTGCGGTTCTTTCTGTCTCGCGCTTGGAAGTATCCTAATGAGTCTCGCGTTTCAGATCGAGCATTTTGACGGATATACAATCGGAAACTTCTTCCTTGCCCTTGGAGGCACATTTGTCTTCCTGCCCTCTTTCCAGATTGCTAACGCCTTCCCCAAGTATGCGGGTAGCATCGTTGCGCTCGTTACTGGTGCATTCGACGCTTCAGCAGCAGTCTTTCTCTTCTACAGGCTCACGTACGATGCTAGCGACAGGGCGTTCAAGCCACAAACTTTCTTCCTGGTCTATCTTATCGTTCCAGCAGCCATCGTCATCGCGCAGCTCACCTTCTTACCGACCGAGAACTACAAGACTGAGGCACAGCTAGAAATGAAGCTCCAGAGAGCTGAGGACGCTATGCGAGACGTTCATTCTTCGGATGATGAGCTACCCGATAATGAGATCTGGAAGCGAAGGAAGGCCCGTAGCTCGCGTCGTAAGGAGAGATTGAGCAGACTTGACGAGCTGATCGGAAATGAGGCGGCTCGTAAGATCCGGGAAGAGAAGGCTGAGCAGAGATTGGAAAACTCCGGTGTCTGGGGAGCACTGCACAACAAGTCTGCCAAAGACCAGATGCTGACGCCCTGGTTCATACTGCTCACTATTCTGACCGTGATCCAGATGGTGCGAATGAACTTCTTCAGTTAGTAAATCTCTCTAGTGTGCTTGAACACTGCTAACATTTCGCAGTTGCTACTATCCGCGAACAGTATACGTACATGCTTGGATCAGTCAAGCTCGCAGAAAAGGTCAACGACTTTTTCGACGTTGCTCTGCCCGTCGCTGGAGTTGTCGCAACTCCCTTCTTAGGCGCACTGCTCGATAACGTCAGCACACCTGGCGTACTCTCCCTCCTCGTTGTCATCATCGCCGCCATCGGAGTCATCGGCTCTATCTCAACTCTTTGGGCTGGATATGTCAACGTTCTTCTATTTGTCTTCTTGCGCCCGCTTTATTATTCCGCCATGTCTGACTACGCGACCAAGGTCTTTGGTTTCGCTACGTTTGGACGAGTTTACGGGACCATCATCTGCGTGTCCGGTCTGTTCAATTTGTCGCAGACTGCAATCGACGCCTTGACAAAGGGCTTGTGGCACGGCAACCCAGTCCCGATCAACATCATTCTGGCTGCTTTGGCGTTTGTCATAGGCACGGCACTCGTCATATATGTCTCGGTACAGGTTTACCGTATGAGGAAGAAACTCGACGAGGAAGACGCCATTACCGTGACAAACACCGAAGTAGGTTCCATCATGGAAAGCCTGCTCGAAGAGGACGAGCCGAGGTCCTACGGCACAGTCAACCGCCAGCGACAGCCATGGGAGGTTTAATACGACGGCGCGAAACTCTACTGATTCTTACCTCCGACATTTCCAGACCAGTCCGACGATATTCCTTCGCCGCTGTCATTACGAGTACGATTCAAATACGGCCGTCGTTGAATCATGCTTCCGATACTAATTGGTCACCTTCCTAACGTAATTAAAAGTTGTCATATTCTGTACGAGCGGGCGTTCATATTCATCGCGTTATATTGCAGACTGTCATCAGCCGAGCATCTTTATCAATAATAGTCATCGTCAAGCGAGCGTTATGTGTACGGGTTTTCGGGTCATGTTACATCTCATTATGTTTACGGCGCCAGATTGCAAGTCCATGTAGACTAGATTGCGATTTGTAGAAATTGTTCGGTATTTCTGATATCCGTTGTCATCATCCGTTGTTGTCTGTTTCAGTTCAAATCAAATCCAAAATCCATGCAATCCATTTTTGCGTCAAGGCTGCAGATGCAGGCTGTCAAGACCTCGATACCACTTGCCCAGATGAGCAAGGCAGTGACGCTAAAATTACGCCCCTCTCTTAGCGCTGGTGTGGGGCTCTGCGGCCCAGCCCCCATTCTCGAGCTTTCGGTTACCGAACCCCTCACAGATCGTACGACACTTTCCATCCACCACGAGCAGGGAGGGCCGATATCGCTGCCTGAGAACGACCACCACTAATTCTAGAACCGTTACATTCGCTTGGTAAACTTGGTACCTGCGGCCGTTGTCTTGGAGCCATGGGCATGCTTTGCCTTATGACGCGTTGCGGTGGTACATCGTCTGCCTAAGCTGACATCCTCGCCGCATGCTGGGGCCTACGTCCACCGTTGTGCTGGAACAGTCGAGTCGACAAGTTGTTTCAAAGTGAATCTCTGGCGCAGCTACCTAGGTATACTGCTGACGTCTCGTGGAGAGGGTTCACCTTGACTGTGCTGCAATGTCCGTCGGCCGTCCACCTGGACTTCCCAGCTGGCACACCGGTGGCTCTCGAAGCATGACAGAGACTTATTCACCCAAAATATGCAGCTGTTTGGCGTCTGGCGCGCTTTTTTAGGAGCTTCTCGTTCTCGGAAATACCCAAGGCGCATTCAATAGACGTTACTATCTGTAAGAAGAGTTGGGATGCTGGAAACGGACAAAGACGAAAGGTAGCCTGACACAATGGAGTCCTCCATGTCCTGGGAGAGGAAAAGCCTCAGCACAGCCGAGTGAGCCCCCATCTCTAAGCTCAGCATGCATCGCGAAACTCGTACTCTGTCGTCATGGCATCTGTATCCTCGTGGCGTTTTGGAGCCCTCGACCCAACTCGAAACCTCAACCAGACACATGATCAACGTCGAAAGTGTCGTTTGCGTTGATGACAAGTATCTTTCTGCATGTCATCGTCATGGCCGTGTTCACGGTCTTCGCCTGGGGCCATCTTTACAACCCCAAACCCGCGCCACAGCCTGCCATTGCAGATTTGGGGCCGATGGAGAGCGACCATGCAGTACGCCTCCCTCAGTTCGTTGCGCAACACGCAGTCGAGATGGACAGAGCTGCTGACATTCTTAGACATTGAAAGGAGGCGTGGGAAACAATCAAGGGTCGATGTTACATGTTGACAGCTCCTGACATTTGTTCTACCCAGCTGCTTGGATATGATCGGTCCTGAAAACATATATGTATGGCAGTCAATCTACTTGTATTGCCCCAAGCACTTTCAACGCATCATTATTTCCTCTTCTTACATCTCCTCCTGAACACTAGGCCAACCTGAAACCATTGCCGAAGCTCGGATTCCATCATGGGTATCCGGTTTTCCCAGTGGGTTGCTCCGTCCATTGTACTTCACAGTACCCTCACATCTGCTCTCGTCGTACCTAGAGCCGCGTACAGCGGAAATGGCGAGCCTTATGGCACTGGATACATCCATCCGACCACCATAGCCGCATCATCTTCTATGGCTTCTCAGGCCTCATCCCTTGGTACGTCCTGCGTTACTTCCGGGACCATAACCATAACGCTATCAGGCTCGAGTATTGTGCCGCCGGCTTCGATAATTGGCACCTATCCTGTCGTGAGCGGCCCTACCATCACTGGTGAGAACAAAATATATTCAAGTTGATGGGCAACATCTGATATCACTGCAGGTTGGCCATCGGCTGCTTCGTCAAGCTCGATTGTATCGAGCAGCGTTCTGGATTACCCTGCCGAATCATCCGTGCCACCTCCTGAGAATCCAGCGACTTCAGACTATCCTGCTGTCACTCCTACTTCGAATGTGGCTTGGTCCACTGGCGGCGGATATGGCCCTTCCCCTGCGCCTGTCTCCCCCCACCTAAGTAAGCTTACGAGCAGTGCGATCCCGGAGAGCAGCGCAACTCCAAGTAACTACAGTACGTCTTTCAATTCCATCACTACTCGCGCGTTCCACTATGTATACCCCAGACAGAGATTGCTGGAACACAGATAACTAACCTTGTGATAGATACGCCCTTGCCGTATGCCACCAACCCTGCGACAGCATCAGTAGCACCCTACCCTATCACCTCTCTCCAAGGGGCACATGTATCACACAGTGCAGGCCCAGTTGGTACTTCACCAACTCTCCACGTTCCGTATCCGACAGGAAACGTTACATCGAAGCCTCCTTCTGGAACGGGGTATCCGACGTCAAGCACCGTGCTGCCGTATCCGAAAGAAAGCGATACTTACTTATCACAACGGTCCGCTACATCTTCTGCATTAGGTTTGTTGACTGGCACATCACGAAGTCGCGTCAGTATGTGCCGCTGACTTTGTATAGCTACTCCTGATTATCCAACGCCATCCCCAGCTCTTCCAGTTTCCTCGGCACCATCTTCAGCCCTTCCTGACTATCCAGCATCGCCTCCGGCCCCTCCTGTGTCTTCAGTGTCATCGTCAGGCTCTCCTGTTTATTCGGCATCAACACAGGTTCCTCCTGTCTATTCGCCAACACCGACGCTTCCCGTCTCGTCACTCTCCTCAGCCTACCCTGTTTCGCCAGCATCGTCTTCTTCCCCTCCCATGCACCCAGAATCCTCTTCAGCCCCTCCAGACTATCCGGCATCGCCTTCGGGTCATCCCACCCCTTCGACGTCGCCTTCTGCCCCTCCTTCGTACCAGACATCGTCGTCAGCCCTTCCGGACTATTCGGCATCAACACCGCTCCCTCCTGCCTCTTCGACAGCATCGCCGGCCCACCCTGTCTCGCCGACATCGTCAGGCCTTCCAGACTATTCGGCATCAGTACCGGTCCCTTCCGCCTCGCAGACATCATCTCTGGCCTACCCCGTTTCGCCGCCATCATCTTCAGTTCCTCCGATGTCTGCGACGCCATCATCAGCCCTTCCCATCGCCTCGACGCTCTCTTCAGCCTACCCTGTTGCGCCTACATCGTCTTCAGTCGCTCCCGCTTATCCAGCGTCATCTTCGGCCGCTCCCGCGTATCCAGCGTCATCTTCAGTCGCCCCCGCGTATCCAGCGTCATCTTCGGCCGCTCCCGCGTATCCAGCGTCGTCTTCGGTCGCTCCTGAGTTCCCAGCTTCATCTTCGGCTCCTCCAGGCTATCCCACGGCTTTCTCAGGTTCCCCTCTTGAGCCAACGCCATCTTCAACTTCACTCGCAGCACCTACTCCAATTGTCAGTTCTACGCCAAGCGTCTATGTCCCAGCCACCTCTCTTCCGCCAGTGTCAGGGAGCATGACTACGATGTACTCGGCAGTTCAGCCTGTAGCTACTGATTACCCGGCATTGCCTGTGGTATCTGCTTCCGAGATCTCCACGGGTACTGAGCAGCCCGGTATTTATTCCCCTTCATTCTTATCGTCGAATCTCAAATGCTTACTCCATACTAGGTTACTCAGCGGCACCTACTACCATGATCACCAGCGCTATTACGTCCTCCGCCAACTCGAACATGTATGGCACGCCTGCTCAACCGACAGGAGGATATGCAGGGTTCGCTGGAGTTGGTACCTGAGTGTTCTGGAGATGAAACTGGTGACTCTGTCCCACGGACTGAAATTGGTGATGCAGCAGCAAACGCTAGGGTTGGCCTGTACTCGTACGCCTGTATCAATTTCCTTTGTTCCACGTGTTGACATTTGGGTAATGTTTTGGGTTTTGGAGTTTGCCCTGGTATCTAGAAAACCTACTGAATCCACTCGTTTACCAAGCGATGCACGATCATGAAGGTAATTTTGTTCGAAAGCTGCGTAGCCGTTTCTGATTGACAGGGTACAATCCCGGCTTGTCGGATTGCTCAGAGAACATGACGTGGGGTTCGCGGATCAAAAGTCCGTGCGTCTTCGCGTTGCTATGGCAGGGAAGTAGCGTCGCGTGGGCGGCTAGTGCTGTTTACCGCTCACCGTCTGAGCTCGCACCACCACATATTACATAGACGTGCTGCACAACTTCCTTAGACTACCAAAGTTGAACAACCAAACTCACAGCAGGTGCTACCCTTCGACAACATACATAACCCCCCAAACCGTCAAGTTGGCGCGCCTCAAAGAATCCCCGGTCCAGATGGATCCGCCTCCGCCTCTCTCGCCAAACAAGGCACCCTTCTCGCCTGGGATGCCCATCTTCCCAGCCAGTCCCGACCGCGGTGCTGGCTCAAGATCTCCGTACGGCGACTCCAGGGGCTCATCGCCAGTCCTCTCGCCCTCGACACCCAACCTCCGCCCCCACTCGCCCCTACGACACACACACCGCCGAACCGATTCCGATGTTTCCGTCACAGCCCTCACAGGCATGTTCGAGAACCTCGAGGTTAAGGACCCACGGGAAGCATGCAAGCGCTTCAAGGAGTTGCTGGACAAGGAGAGGATACGACACGCGGAGAAGTTGAACAAGATCGAGAAGGAACATGCCAAGAAGGAGCGCGACCATGAGTTGTCGTCGAGCCGACGCGACGTGCGCATCGACGAGCTGAAGCACGAACTTGAGCAGACAAAGGAATCACTTGCAAACGCCGTTACCAAGGAAAGATTTGAGAAGAGAGTCCATGAGAGCAAAGCTGCCATTGACAAGTGGGCGAAGGCTTTCCAGGAGAACGAAGAGAGGTGGAAGAGTATGGACGCCAAAGCTGTAAGTATACCATGCTCTTCTATACAGTTCCACCTATTAACATGTTCCAGACGGAAGCAGCATCGCGAGCCAAGTCCTACGAGGGCAAATATAGACACTGTAAGGCGGAGTACATAGCGGCCAACAACGAGAAGCTCCGATGCTCCGCAATGATACCGCAGCTTCAGGCCAAGATTCAGAGCATCCAGCGTAGCTTGCAGCGGGCCGAGTCAGATGTCAAGTTCAAGACCGATGAAGCCGCCAAGTACAAGAACGAGGTGTACAGCCTGCAGGTGGAGATTGAGAGCGTTAGCAACCGACTGAACGAAGAAGTGCAGACACTGAAAGAGAAGCTTGGTCTCGTGGAGGGCGAGCGAGACGCTCTTAAGACGAGCTTGAAAGAAGAGGAGGTTCTGCGCATCGCCGCGGAAGGCCAGATACCGCTTCCATCGGCCGACCCAGAAGAGACTGATGAATTCGCATCACCTGTTCGATCGCCACGCAAGCCACGCAACCTCGCACGCGAGGACGACGACAAGGAAAACGTGTCGCCAAAGAAAAACGCAGTTGATCTGCGCTTCATTCAGCAGGAGCTGGCAGCAGAGAGACGCGCTCGCGAACGTGCCGAGGAGCAGATCGACTTCATGAAGATGGAATGCCAGTTCCAGTGCTGCTCTTGCCGCATCGCTGAGAACAGGGGAAAGCACTACGTCCACGATGACTCACTCGAAGCCGAGATGCAGCGCATCAAGGTCTCGCTACCCATCTCTACGCCCCCAGCCAGCAACCACGGAGACGATGTCATGGAAGGTGTAGTGATCAGGCAAGAGTCTGTGGAGAACGAGCGTCCCATCACACCGCCTGAGGATGTTGTAGTCAAGACAGAGTCTGAGGAGCCCGAGACCGTTGTCGCCTTCTCTCCAGACACAGGAACCTTCCGCTCTGTGCCATCACCTATGAAGTCTCGTCCGTCAGCAGGCATCGTCACACATGCAGAGCCATCACCTGTAGTCGAGATGACCGATGCACCAGCGCCCGACACGGTCGCTCCTGCCAACATATCTTTGCCACAGTCCCGTCCTGCATCGAGAGTCGACTTTGTTCTTCCTACCCGCAGGGAGAGCAAGGCTGTAGACATCAGCATCCACGAAGACGCCGTCGACGACGACAGCGAGGACGAGGACATGTCACCACCGACGCCCGACAGGGAGCCTACTGGGCCTACGACGCCCTACCTCACTCGCACTATTACCACAACAACTACCATCCCCCTTCACTTCTCCCCTGCCACTCCAGCGTTCAAGGCTGGCCGTGGGCCTATGACTCCTTCGACTGTAGCCCACGCTGCAGCCAACGCACAAACCCCTGTTCTGGGTGAACTGTCACTCAACAAGCTAGGCATTGACCGGGAAGCCGCACTCGCAGCGATCCGTGAGCGTAGAGGACGTGCTAGAAGCATGGCCGCTGGTCACGGAACCCCGATGAAGCAGATGGTCGAGGGTGTAAAGGACCGCAGAGACATTAGTGCGCCTGTTACTCGGGTACGAAGTGTATCGCGGATACGGAGATGAGCGATCGAGGATGGACGATGTGGAAGTGGCTGGTGATTGCCGTGCTGACTAGGGTGCAGCGAGAGTCGTGATACCATTGATTTCCTGTTGCGACTTTACCTTGCGCTTAGCGGCATTGCATGGCGTTGGAGGCTATTGCTACATTTGAACTTTCCCGGCGTTGTCTGTCTGCATAGATGTTTTGCACAAGCAACGACTGCGTTATATACCTTAGTTTTGCTTCTTGCTAGTTCTTACGATATTGTAATTGAGTATTGACATGTTCAACTTTGTTTGGTGTTCTGTGCTGAAGTTGCTGTGGATATGAATGGGTATTTGTGCTTGTGACCACCGTCATTTTTGAACACAAAGTCAATTCTGTAAACGATACGTTGGTTGGTAAGAGCGATTGACCATTTTCTTCGCGTGGTGTTCAAGAGACGAGATGAGCGGGCCCCGGCGTGCACACTTCCGCCAAGCCCCGCTAGCGCACGATTGGCGGTCCAAGCGAACGTCGAAATTGATCGCACTCGAACACCTGGATTATCTCTTGCGACAGCGACTACGAACTTCGACGCCCAACCCTCTTTCTCCCTTCCATACCGACAACCGCCATCATGTCTGACAACGGAGAAATCGAGGTCGAGAACCCCACCGGCATTGCCATCCTCCCCAAGGATGTCACCGACGAGCAGGGCAGCGTAAAGCTGTTCAACAAGGCAGGCTTATTACAACTTCCGCCCACGCGCACAATACTGACTTTTTGCAGTGGTCCTACGAGGAGGTCGAGGTCCGCGACATCTCATTGACGTACGTTTCCCCCACGATATCGCGCCGCACACCCGTATAAAAGGACAATGGTGGCATTGGATACTTTGTATTACGCTGCGAGACCTTCGGCTAACTGAAGCCGCAGCGACTACATCCAGATCCGCTCGCCTGTCTACATCTCACACTCCGCCGGCCGATATGCCGTCAAGCGGTTCAGGAAGGCCCAGTGCCCCATCATTGAGCGTCTCACCAACTCGCTCATGATGAACGGCCGTAACAACGGAAAGAAGCTCATGGCTGTGCGCATCGTCGCTCACGCTTTCGAGATCGTACGTCTACAATCTGCCAGGTTTCGGAATCGCGAAGATGGCATAAAATGCGCGTCGGGAGACGGCTGACATTTGCAGATCCACATCATGACCGACCAGAACCCCATCCAGGTCGCCGTCGATGCCATCGTCAACTGCGGTCCCCGTGAAGACTCCACCCGTATCGGTTCCGCCGGTACCGTCCGTCGCCAGGCCGTCGATGTCTCTCCCCTCCGCCGTGTCAACCAGGGTATCTCCCTTCTCACCATCGGTGCCCGTGAGGCCTCTTTCCGCAACGTCAAGAGCATTGCCGAGTGCCTTGCTGAGGAGCTGATCAACGCTGCCAAGGGTAGCAGCAACTCGTACGCCATCAAGAAGAAGGATGAGCTCGAGCGTGTCGCCAAGTCCAACCGATAAAGGCGTGCGTTCTGTGTATGGGTGTGCATGGTGTCTCTGGGAGGAGTTCTTTCGAATGGCTGTTCTGGTCGTTTTTTGATCGGACAGGATGAGGGATCTTATGCATGGCATGGCTTTCCTAGGCGATTAAGACCTCTTTCATGGTTGCATGACAAAAATGGACAATACGATACCACGTTCAGATGAGCAGCTGCTGCGTGAGAGGTGATGTCGACTGCCACCGACAGGCGAGAGGAGGCCGGACCCGCTGTTGGAAGGCATCGTGTAGCTGTGAAATGCCACTTCATGTACAACACAATGGCGGAAGTCGTTTAGATCTTGGATGAATTCCAGTACATCCAAATTCATCTATGGGTATCTCATCTTTGCACTTTCTACGTAAATGTCTATGCTGCCGCCCGCCCTAGCACAGCCCTCTCTAATATGGCTCCAAACTCTTCGAAGCCGACTTTACCACTGTTCTTCTCTCCAAGTTGCTCAGCTTCAGCATAAGCCTTGGCCATGACCTCCTCATCAATTCTAACAAGCCAGTCGTGACCTGTGATCATGATGTGACCCCCTTCATTTTGTAGTTGCTGCATAAGCCCACTTGCGCGGATCAATCTCTCGACCCAAACCCTATCTTTACCCTCCGCGTACGCTGCGTCGACCAAATCCACGGCACCCCTCTCCTTCATTGTATTCCTTACAAAGGCGACACACCTCTCCCGTCGTGCGGCTTCCATCTCGGCCTCCTTTTTCTCCTCTGCTTTCCTCTCCTCCCGCTCCTGTCTTGCGCGCTCGCGAATCTCTTCTTCGACAGCCGCTCGCCGAGCTTTTTCCGCTGCCGCAGTTGCCTCGCGCTCTTCACGGCCTTCTGCCTCTTGAAGACGACGCATCTCGGCTTCTGAACGTAGCCATTCGTTGTACGCGCGTTGTTGGTCTTTTCGAGCGAGCGATTTGGCTTTCTTGGTGCCGACTACGCGTTGGGTTGGTGGGGGACGGTTCGCGTTTTGTGGTGGGGGGTTTGCGGGGCCGGGTGCGAAGGCATCGTCGGGTAGTTGGGCTTCTTGTGCTTGAGTATGTGGCTGTTGATGTTGTGGTAAGGGGACGTCTCCGAAGAGGGCTTGGTGCGGTGGTGGTGTAGGTGCCCGTGGCGGTCGCGCGGCTTCTACGCCGTCGTCTTGAAGGACTAACCGCTCGTCCAGTGGTGCTTGTTCTCCTTCATCCCTCTGTCCTCCAACCGGGTTCCTGATACCTTGTTCGGTTGGGCGATTCGTCTCCTCATTATTTGCTCTTTGATCATTGCCCGCCTGTGCTGCTTGCCGTTGCGCATTGTACCATTCGCCGATTTGTGGGGCGAAATATAATGTTCCGCAAAGTACTGCTGTGTGTAGAAGATCTTGCGACAGAGGTGTGCCAGATCGCGTAAATGGCAGCAGAAGATTCAGGATGGTGAACGGAAGAGATAGTATGGCCCCCATCGTGACGTTTGTGTTCGTATGGTCAATGCGCAGGTTTACGCGTTGACGGAGCCTTTGAGTCGATGAATCGAGGTGGGGTTTTCGCGCGAAGGCCGATCGGTAGTGATTGGAAACCGCTAGCGGTCCATGTAATTGGGAAGTGGTATCTGCGGTATAATAAGGATTCGATGCTTGTGCAATAATAGTAGTCGTCGTGGCGCTAGAAATGTGCTTCGGGTGAAAGACAATGTCAAGTCAAGTTGATGATGCAACTTGCAAGCCCGCTGTAGGGCTGAGCGCTAGTGCCGCGTTGGTCCTAGCTTATCTTGAGCGATCATTCACATGCAACGAAGTGCTCCTGTCGTCAGCACGGCACGAGTCTTACAGACGTCTGCGCAATGACACCTTGAACGCGCGCTTCCATCGTATTTACTGCCCCATTTGTATAGCATACTCGCTCTGATCATATCACCGACCGGAGGCCTGAACCTCAATCCTTCAAACCTCGCATTAGTTTGGACATTACCAAGGTACGAGAGAAAGATTGCAGTAGATAATGGTTTCATGAGTGGAGGACCCAGTCAAAACTTGGGTATTGGATGGAGGGTGCGTCTCCAATGATATCTAACCTTTTCTTGGAGGGTGCGCCTTACGGCCGTTAGCAAAAGACTCGGAGCCTTATTCGTCCTCCTCTCCACACTGTCAAGAGAGGGTAACCAATCGACGGTTTCAACCCCAGCCATAAGCTTTCCGAATCGTTCAGGCCCTCCGAGGGCACGGCTGCTAAGTGTAACATCGCTATGGGGAATGGACTGCGATACCACCGCTTGACGATACGTGCGGAAGGCATGGGCCGATTGTCCACAGGTCTGGCCGTCCAACATGTGTACGATGCAGGGGATTGGATTGCCTTTATATCTCTGGCCAATTCCGCATTATGATTACTATACTCTTGCAGCTTTGGCTTCGACTTCAACTTGGCTACAATCTATCCCCGACTCAACACATTCCTCTGTCGACGCTTGTCTGACTCGTATCATTGCCACTCCCCAAGCCATACGATTGGCCCATCTCTACCTCACGCGACGTACATCTCTCGTCTCCGGCATATTAAGGCACCTTGCTGCTGGGTCACCACATATTACGCGCCGTATAATTGGTCAATCGAACATCAGTATGGTCGTCGCAACAACGGATGTCTGGCCCAACACGGCAGGCTTCGACACGGACTACGAAGAGCACGAGCCCGTGGAGCTCACCGTCAAAGGCACCATCCCAAGGCATGCTGCAGGTGTACTTTATCGGACAGGTCCGCTCGGCTACAAGGCGAAGACGAACGACGGCAAGATCTGGGCAGCAAGACATTGGTTTGATGGATTCTCATGTGTCCATCGTTTCCAGATCGACTTTCCCGACGCGGACGGCCCAGCGAAGGTTACATACCGTTCGCGACGCACGGTGGATGAGTACCTTGAGATTGTTCGTACGACCGGAAAATTGGACAGTACCACGTTTGCTGCAAAGCGTGATCCATGCGAGAGCTTCTTCTGGAAGGTAAGTCCTGACTGTACGAGATGCACGTGAGACATACACTGACTTCGTACGCCCATCGCTGTAGGTCATGAGTATGTTCCAGGCATCACAGAATGAGCGCAATGTCGGTGTCACGCTCTCCATAAATATGGCAGGAAGTGACAAACTCAACAAAGGCGCGAAACCGACTGCCAACGGTCACACCAGTGGCATTGAGACTCTTCATGCCCGAACAGATTCTAGTGCCATCAAGGAGATCGACCCAGAGACGTTGGAACCGCGCGGTTATGCACGTCAAGAACGCCTTCACCCGGAGTTGAAAGGGCCTTTCTCTGCCGCCCACGCCAAGTCTGACCCCCAGACGGGTGATATGTACAACTTCAATCTCGACTTTGGATACAAGAGTACTTACCGCATCTTCCGCGTCTCGGCAGCATCTGGCGAGACAGACATACTCGCTACTTTCCATGGCACGCCTGCATACATTCACTCGCTGTTCTTGACTGAGAACTACGTCATTCTCTGTGTCTGGAACAGTCACATCACATGGGGTGGCGTTTCGCTCATGTACCACAAGAACGTTGTCGACTCTATCGCGCCCTTCGACCCCAACTCCAAAGCAACATGGTACGTTGTCGACCGCCGCGAAGGCAAGGGACTTGTAGCAACGTACGAAAGCATGCCTTTCTTCTGCTTCCACAGCATCAACGCCTGGGAAGAGCCATCAGCTTCTGATCCTAGCAAGACCGACATCATCACCGAGCTCAGCATGTTTGAGAACCTAGACATCGTCAAGCGCTTCTACTACGACAACATCATCTCTTCCATCGACACGCCTGACTATGAGGGTGAGAAGCGCAGGCTGTGCCTTCCGATGCAGGCGCAGTTCCGCCTTCCGAGCGTCAACGCTGGTGTTCCTGCTACGATGCCCGCTGAGCTTCTCTTTCAGGCCGACAAGTTCAAGTCGATGGAGCTGCCCACGCTGAACCCGGCATACCTGACCAAGCGCCATCGCTACACATATGGATGTGCCGACCGTCTCCGGTCTTCGTTCTTCGACGGCCTTGTCAAGTTTGACAACAAGACTCAGGAAGCCATCTACTGGGAAGTTGATGGTCACACGCCTGGCGAAGCGATCTTCATCGCTGACCCTGAAGGTGTGGAAGAAGACGATGGCATACTGTTGAGTGTGGTCTTGGACGGCTATGCGGAGAAGAGCTACTTGCTCGTGCTCAACGCGAAGGACTTGACGGAGATGGGAAGAGCTGAGATGGCGGGGCCGATGAGCTTTGGGTTTCATGGGACGTTTAAGGAGACGTATAAGACATATCGAGGGGATGTTTGAGCTGGAGAATTACAACACAACGATAGCCTGCTCTCCATTCCTTTCGCTGACACCCGTTGACGTTGAAAGATTTCGGTTACTGTCATAGTTATCTAACTTGGTCGTCGACGACGTAGACACATTGTCTATCACATACATATTATCCTTTTATGAACCCGACCAGCTCATCAGTCATACCTATTTCAGGCATACTTGCTTCGTTTACTCATGGGTCGACCCCGGTCTTGAACAGTCATTCGCTCATCAATCATCAAGCCGACATGATTGCGACAATGTTAGACAAGTGTCAATGCGATTAAACCGGCTCATTAGGCGCACATCGAGTCCAACAATATCTTGATTCATCCTACTCTACCGCTTGATGGTAGGTCCGGAGACAAAGGGTACGTGACGAACCTTCTGTATTTGTCAAGCTACCTGAACATTCCGCTATCTCCTTTCCATGCAAAACTATGTCGACCCAAAAGCTCCCCGTTGTAAATGGGCTCTGGTATGTCCTCTGGTTGAGCTATCCGTTCTTTGAATGGTTTGACATTGGTAAATCGTTTCGCTTCTTCGACGTATCCCTCGACGCAGATGACGTAGCTTTTATCGATTTCCATATCCTTGGTACGTAGTTTGCACCCTTTGATTACACCACCCCACACCTGTGAGTCCTCGCCATTCTTTGCCCAAGGGTTTGTGCTCGTGTATATCAACAAATAGCACCGACTGTCACAATCTTGATTCTTTTGCAGGTGGCTGCAGCGTGACTTCTTGTCAACCTCGCCGAATTCCATGAAAGGGATGGGCGATGTCGTCTCTGTAGGATGTTCCACAATCGATTGGTCTGGTTGTAATGCACGCGAGTTCTTCGTAGCAGGTGGGCATATCAGCGCTCTGATAGTAGGACCTTTGCTTTCGTGCGCGGAGGAGGCGCTAGATACGGGCCGCGTTGGCAAGCAAGGTATTGTAAAATCGTTTGAACGGCTCATATCACTGGGTCGATTCCGATGGGACTTGTAGTTCTGAAGCGATGATTGGTATGGTAGAATTGGAGTGAGAGTAGCAAAGCCGCTGAGAGTTCGCGGAGAGACAGAAATGGATGTTGTTATGAGGAGGAAATTGAAAGAGGGGCGTAGTCTTGAGGGCCGCTTCTGTACTCATCATACGAGTGATTTGAGTCACAAAAGTACGTACCTGTCCCAGAATTTGTGTGCAGAGTCATGTTGAGGCGGCATAACAGTGACTCGATCAACGTGACTTTCAAACTCAGTATGGTAACTCTAGTTGCAGTCGTCAAAGGAAAAGGCGAACAACGTGAGGATAAAAGAATTAACCGACGGGAGATTTGGTGTTAAGGTTGCTCGCTACCGGTGTGAAGTTGCTGTATTGATGTTGCTGTGACTCCGAATCGCGCACTGTCTTTCTGTTGACCATGACGCCAATGCGACAACGAGTTGTGGTCATACTAATACGTTGACCTAACTTTGGCCGCAAAAAAAGCTACGAGGTCAGACACAGAATCTATAGCTGATTGTATACGCCCGTTATGTTATTTGGTCCGCTAGTACTCCGATTTCTAACATCTTCGCGGATAGAGGCACGTGCGCAGCGTCGACCGTAGTTGAGTTGGCACAACCACGGATGTGCTTACAGTATTCCTAATGAAGAGCAGCATCCTGGAACAGATGCTATATATTGTGTGTTCGTATTCCTCGAATTTCTGACCTTCTCATCATCGTCTCTTTTCCCGGAAACTCAAAATGCCTACTCCTCGCAACCACACCCACATACTCAGATTAGAAGCCGACGGCCTCCAAGATGACTACTACAAACAACACGAAGCCTCCTGCGACATCTGCTTCAACGACGAGACATCCGATTGCGGGCTCGATGAGGCGTCAGCAACAGTCTCAAACAGCGAAGCCAACCTCCGCGCTATATCGCCAACATCAATCATTCGCACCGCCGTTTGCCGACATGTCTTCCACGAGAGGTGTCTCGTAAAGTGGCTCCAGGAGCAAAGGGAACATCGTCTTCATGGCAACTGCCCAATGTGCCGCGGCTTGCTCGTCTTCAATCCAAAGGCTATTGCGTGTGCGCGAACTTCGGAAGCCCATAGTTCATCATCGCCATCCCATAGTACTACGATGACCCAGACGCAATCTAGAGACGACGAGCCAACCCCGCCCCCCGCATTTAATACGACGCATACGCCAGGAGATGCTCTCGAACGAGAAGGATCGCAACTTGAAAGAGCAAACGCTGTTGCTCGACAGCGCGTGATCTATGAATTAATTACCAGATTGCAACAAACTCTCCCGAAAATTGAATGAAGGGCTCGATCGATTAAGGTCGAGTCGGAGGACTCTGTTGCAAGAAGAGCTGCTTCGTGCGGGAGAAGAGCGGTGTCGGTCAGGAGAAGAGCACGTTCATTTCTTAGAAGAGCAGCGTACCTTGGAGTTACAAAAGGCAGGGATAAAGCCTCGATCCTGATACGATGGAGGCCGAAGACGACGCTTGAATTGTACCTTTATGATGGGAGACCTTTTGTTTTGTGATCAATTGAACTCTTCTCTCACTTTTCTTGGAGCTGTTATGGTTAGAAATTAGATCGTCATGACTTTCTTGGTGCTCGCGTTATTGCCAGAAGGTTTGGCGCAAGTGAAATGGTGTCGAAGGGTACAGTCGCAGAGGTGCTAATCACTGTACATCAGCTCCGTCAAGGTTGGCTCCTGAGCACAACCCTTCTTTCTACTCAATGGTTAGCTACGATCACTTTACTCTCAACTCAAATTCCTGACACACCACGCCGCGCACATCTCAACCTAAAGGCTCCTTAGTATGGCCAACAACATCACAATTGATGCGCGCCTTGACGCGTTCTTCGACGCAAGTGTGGACAATCTCAAAGACGACCACTATGTTGAGCATGGCAGCGTATGCGACATTTGCAGGGCTGATGACATGGCCGATCCACCGGAAATTATCGAGCACGCATCCTCCATCACGCGCACTGGTGTAGTCCAGACGAAAACCTGTCCCTTACCCCACATTTTCCACAAGCTCTGCCTATACGCCTGGATGCACGCAAAGCTGCGCAGAAACGCAAATGCAACCTGCCCGATGTGTCGCACCACGCTCATCGTTTCTAGTCCCGGTCCATGGAGGGAGTTGTTCTTGGAAGAATCAGAATCACTCGCTAGACAAATCAACGAACTATTTGAGATGTTGGCAATTCTTAGAGAGCAAAACGAGGCAGAAATGATTCAAATGAACGAAGCCAGGACAGCTCTGAATAGATTCAGGGCAGGAAGGGATGAGACTGAATGACCGGTTTGCGATGCGGAGCGTTATTGTGGACAACACCGCGCATGCGCAGCAAATTAAAGTCCACTATCTAATAGCCTTGTCAATATCAGCAGCGCTGGCAGCTATTGTGACCCTGTGCTGAACATGCCTGTTCAAGTGGTCGCGGGTCATCGCCAGACAGTTTTCTGACCATAGGTCTTTGTCGCAGTCCTGTCTTGGATTCTGGTACAAGAAGGCAAAACTTCCAAGACTAGAAAATATCATTCTGCCATTCCCACTTGGTCATGTTGTCTTGACAAGCTTGTGATCGTCCGGTTGCTTGGCGGTTTCTTATGTCTCGTGCATTCCGAAGTGTCCCGATTTCAGCCGCCGACCGCCTCCGAAAGTCCGAGTTGTACCCGATTCGCCACATGTGCAATGCTTTACTCAGGCTAGATCATGAAAACATGCTTCTTGACCAATGATCGTAATTACAGTCTTGAAAATGCAAGACTGCAGTGGGTCCTTCTTATCAAGGTATGCAGTCTTTCGGTATGAGGTTTTCGGTGATGACTCGGCGGAACAATTGTTGGGAGCGATGCGTTTCGACTTTGCGATAGGAGAAGTATATAGTGAGGCGCCAGACCGACAGTTCGGGGGAGCGTATCTGTCAAAGCAAGCGAACGTTAGCAATCATTCTCTCTCTCGTTCCGAACCTACAAGTCTCCAATTCCTTCAAATATCCAATCTCACACTCAATCCCAATACCCTCAACATGGTGGCGCAAACATCCAAGCCATCGAGCCGCAGCTCTTCCGTGACGGCGCCAGTTGAACGCTCATCCTCACCGAGCATGCATCATGCACTTGCGACTTCTTCGTCTCTGAAGTCGATGCTCAAGAAGCCCTTCCAGGGCTGGTCCAAGGATCTCCTTCGCGCGAGGGACGACGACGACGATGACTACAACTTTTCGAGTGGTATGCGCCGTGGAGCTCAATACTACCAGAACGACGCCTGAGATGGCTGGGAATACTATGATCCGCGACTGATGGAGGATGAGGCCGATGCCACACTACGGTCTCCCAAACGACCTCGAGCCCAATACCTATGCGCGTCGACGGGGTGGTAATATCGAAGGGGCACGTGAAGGCAGAGTGGTACACCGTGTGACGGTGGTGGTGACTCGGGGTTTTGGTGGGCTGGAAGAGCTGGTCACATCCGGCGGGTATGGCTGAGACGGTTGTGTGGCAGGCCTGGCGTTTGTGCTGCGTTGTATTGCTTTTGCGAGCGCGATACCCTTGATTGTTCCCTTAATTTACACAATTTGTAATGCACACTTAGTTCCACAATGCGCGTTATCGTACGAAGGGTTGGATGTGTTGTGTGACGATGCACACGACCAGAAAGCTCGTGAAGACGCCTGCCCACCATTCTGACAATCCTGAGCTCGTGTTATGTCAGCAGCGCTTGACGCATCCGCTTCTCCCACTTCATCCCAGAACTCCACCTCGCAAAATCTCTCCCAAATCGCGCACTTTGGAAATTGCGGCCTTCCCGAACAACTAGAGCTTGCATAGGGCTGGCATACAAATGTGCCCTCGCTTGCGGTCCCGTAAGGTCGCTACCCATGGACTGGCTCAGAGAGCACCGAAACATGCATGGGCCATGCTGCAAGCCACAAACTCTCCCGTCTGTCAAGCCTAGCTCATACACGAATCATCACCATTGCATCGAGGTCACGCGTGAAGACGAAGTGTCTTTGAAAATGGCAAGCATACAACAGCAGACCATCTTACTGACTGAGTACGAGAATTTGGCAGCTCTAACTCAAGGCTTCGCGTGCGCATCACCAAGCAATATCGACGTCACTCCACAGCATACTCGGCTTGACTCGACGAAAATTGCGGAGGATTTGCGCGCAATTTCTTCCAGGCAACAGTCGCACGAATAGACGCAGCTAGACCATATGAGATGCCGGTGTGCCTAGAAAAGCGGCTTGGTGGTCTTTAGGGGGCCTGCGCCGCCCGGTTAGGCGTGCCGCATCATGCGCTGTCAGTTAAGCGATCAGCCTCCGAATCTCCCCAATAAGTAGACTAGATATCCCATACTCGACGAACCTTTTCTTCATCGCCAAGCATCACTCGTTACTGCCTGTCGTTCGTTGCCAATCTTTTTCAAGACTCTAATCTAATACTTGTTACTATACCCCACATTGCTCGTCTCAATCAACACCGCAAGATGTCTAAGATCCTCTCCGTGGCGCTTTTCGCCTCTTACGCTGCGGCTCAAACGACCGCTCAGGTCTGGATGCCCGGTCTAGGCGATATGGGCATTTCGTACGAGGGTTCTGTGGTCAGCGTTGACAACGACCGCACTATCATGTCTGTGGCTGTGCAGGGTATTACCCTCGACGACTCACTGGTGCGTAACAACGAGTTGAAATCATCGATAACATTCACTGATCTGTTGCGACTAGGCCGATGTCCCTTCGACCATCACTGTCGGAGGCAACACCTACTATGAATATGACGCCTCCAATGACCACTACGGCGTGACGGTGACCGTCTCCGGCGCATGCTCGCGCCAGAACACCGACGAAGCGGAGGCAACCTGCACCCAAACTACCATTGGCCTCGAATCCGAAATGAGCTCTCTATGCGCTGACCCAGAATACGCTTCCTCCCTCTGCCCGGACGGTGTGGATGCCGCTCTCTCCTTCAGTACAGTGTTCCCCGAAGGCTACTTCGACCTGTTCGCCGTCGTCATCACCGAGGGCGGTGACTCCCTTCCCAGTGCCACAGCGGCCGCATCAGTATCGGCCGGCAGCGCTTCCGTAACAGCGTCCCGTTCCACTGTCACATCCGCAGCTTCTGGATCTGCCACTGCTACCAAATCCGACTCTGACGCAGCGGCAAGCACTGGCTCGGAACCTGCTGCTAGCTCTGGAGCTTCTGCTACCTCCAGCGGTCCTGAGGAAGTAGCCACTGGCGCTGCCCACATGGTTCAAGTCCCAGCTCTGGCTGGTCTTGGTGCCGCTGTTGCCGCTTTCTTCTTGTAAAGGTTTAGTAGCGAGATAGTCGCTTTCATCTGCGCATTTCGAACGAGTTCTGGCTTAGCGAATACCCTTTATGCATCTACGTATCGTCATTCAATACTTATGCTTATAATACCACTCTGATTTATATCCTCACTTCTTGTATCACTAATATACAGATGCTGTCTAGGAAGTTGGCTTTGGAGGCTTTGGGGGCTTCGTTACGCACACCATTCTCTCCCCCTTCTTACCAAAGCATATCTTTCCTTTTCCCGTTTCATTGTCAAAGCAGCTCTTTCCTTCAACATCCTTCAAGACTGGACCAGTGTATACGTGTCCCTCGCAGTCTTCCTCATCGCACGTGAATCTTTTCACATCCCCACCCTTCTCGAGAAAGTAACAACCTTCCTTACACTGATACTCCTCCTCAACATGCTGACACCTCCTACTCCATGGGAACAATGCACTTTGTATGACGACAACCTTCGTGGGCAGGTTTTTGATGTCATCGAGTACGAAATTATCGAGATTGGGATTGTTATCGGATGCAGACAGTTTGTGACCGGAAGCCACAAGGTTTTTCTTTGTGGATGGTTTGTTGTTGAATATGCTGGGCAACCAGCGCGACGGTGGTCTAGGTGGTTCTTTGACTGTCAGGGTGTACATCGCGTCGCTCCGGCCGAACTCTCCTAGATAATCAAAGGCACCCGACGCCCCCGACATTGCCGAATTTGCGTGTAGTTTGACTGACTACGAGAGTGTATGAGCGATCAAAAGAGACTGGAAGCTTTGCGCGAGACAGTGGCGCAATATCGGCAGATCTGGTACGGAGAATGATAGGGAAGAAGCGGCTGTGTGAATGTGTGCGGTTTATAAACAATGACTTGGTGGTCAGTGTTCGCATGTGACTCAGGGTGTGAATCACGGTGTGAAGAGCGCTATGGGCGACAAACGAACGCGTTGTGTAAGACAATGGGAATTGATCGATTGATGTTTGGTGCTGCGCTAGCGGTACCGTGAATATTCCGCTTGCGCATTCACAACCCTCCGGGATATCGGGTTGTAAAAGGTTTTGGCATGAACAACCAAAATCCGTCCCAACTAAAACGAGTTCGCCTTCTTCAACCGGTCGCTCTCCCTTTCCTCCCTCACATGCTCATCATAGCCCTCGATACACCTCAGCCTTTCCGTAGGGCTCAAATAAACCATCCCACCATCCTTGCACCAACCCTCCCAAATCTTAGGCCGTCCCCTTTTCTCTCTGCGTACAATTTCTCCTCCAATCTCCACCTCTTCGTTCTCCATGATGCTCCCCACTGCCCATTCTATAACGTAGTGCTCCCTCAGGTACTCTGCTTTGCATTCGCGTCCCGAGGCTAGGCAGCTGCAGCGAATGCTTTTGGGGATTGCATCGCAGTCGACATCGAACGTGATGGTTTCGTTGATGCCAATCAGATCGGCGTGTGAGAAACTGGAGTCGGAGAAGTATTGTTGTGACGTTGCGGGCGCGACGAGTGCGGTGATACGGAAGGTTGGCTTCTCTGGTGTGATCCTGAAGTAGGCCATGAGCGTGCTGAAGATGCCTGACATGGTGGATGGTATGTGGGTCTGGGCGCGGGCGTGGTTTGGATGCGCTTGTGATTTAGATGTAACTTTTGGGATTTTGTTTGAGAGTAGGCTTGGTATTTGGGAATGAGTTTATTGAAAGGAAACAATGTTCGGAGACGTGGTCTTTTATTGAAAAATATCTCATGTGTTGACTCAAATGCACAACCATGGTTCTCATGTTCTGGCGAAGACCCTCAATAGCGAGCCACTCACGGCACTCGTAATGCTTCAGCGTACCAAACCCGAAGATCAAACGCAGAAAATATCATTGTAGGAGGTGCGACCAAAGTTAGTGCGACGCTGCCAGTCGAATATTACTGATGCGCTGAAAGAGCGGATGCCGACGTCGCGAAATCCAGCACAGGAGTCGTGGGCCGCGCAATACGCTGCAGTTCGGCGACGCTTCGCGAGATACCCATCGGTACACCACGTACAACTTTGTTGGCCGGGCTACTGAACCACGCAGCGTGTGTAGTTGTCGCGTATGCTGGAACCTGTTCAACTTCCGATTTTGCAGGTCTGGCCGTAGGAGGCTGACGGGAGGATGGGATAGGAGTCGACACAAGATCGTCTCTACCACCGAAGAGCGAGTTGAATATTATGCTCGGGCCTAGCGACTTGAAAGTGCTTCTCGTGCGGCGCATGGAAGACGGGTTCATCGGCTCTAATGTTGTATGCTTGTTGTCGCCTAGGCGGTCTATTGGGGGTTTCGAGAGCTTTCGTTTGTCTGAATTCTCTGCGGCGTGTTCCGTAACGTTTTCGATCTCTGAGGTAGCAGCTTCGGGCTCATGTGGGCGTGACTCCTGTTCCGGAACTGCGGGTATATCGCTCGCGCAACCAGAGGATGAAGGGCAGGCGGTACTGCAAAGAGCGCTTTTGGAAACAACACATTGAGAGCTCGATACTGCAGAGACTTTCGGTAGTTCTACACTCATCGAAGGGGTCGTGGCCATCGTAGACGATTCGGGGAATAGGCCATCACGACTTGAGACTTCAGAGCATACTGTCGACGATCTTCTGCTTTCACACGATTCTTTTGGTTCTTCTGTATCGAAGGAGGGTTCGAGGGTAGGCGGTGTATTGGATGGCCAGTGTCGCTTCTGCTTCGGAGCAGTGTTTGATCGCTTCGGTCGAGACTTTGTCGCAAAGACATGGGACTTTTTCACCCTGCGTGGCATTTTGAGAACGGGGTCGCGGCTCAGCCGAGAACTCTAGAGATGACGTAAGCAGAGTGAGATTTTGGTCGGTCCAACTAAGGTCGAGGCTGAGCTCGGGCGCCGGGTAGTTGGTTTAATGGCTATGTACAGTTGAATTGTCAAGGAAATGAACTGACACCCGCTCAATTTGGTGGGTGCGCGAAGTCTTCTTTGAAATTCCACAAACAGTGTGTGAAAGCGATTGGGGTTTTAGGATCTGGATCGCTGCCGAGTGAACATCCATCGACCAGGCTTGATTGCGATAGTTGCGCGCCTCGAGCTGGGGCCTGTGGCGAAGCTTCTTTTGTTGCTTGTGGGAATGAATTGTCGTAGGCTTGACATTCTGGATTGGATTTAGTGTTGTGGTATGGGCAAATGTTAGTGACAAAGACATGGACGTTTGCTGCGCAGTCGTAGATGTCTCGTTGTTCAAACACTAGTCCGTTTGCGGCTAGCACCCAGTTCGTACGACCGCAGACTGCAGCTGGAGTTGCTGCCACCCGCTGTCAGACATGGATACCATGCAAGCCAGGATCGATTCATCCGGAAGCTAGTACCCCACCTTTGTAAGCGTGTCAGCGCCGTTTCTCAAGTCGCTTTTCGCGTTGAAACTTACTCTCAAATCTGCAATCATGGACCGGGAGCACGCCGGTGAGATGACCTTTGAGGTCGACGCAGGCCACGATGAGCCGAATTCGAACAATGTGACAAGCAGTCAGGAAAGGAAGCTACTGATGAAAGTCGACCTATGCGTCCTGCCTACCGTCATTGTACTGTATCTCTTGTGTTTCATCGATCGAACGAACATCGGTAAGGCCATTTTGCGCATGGCTTGTTTATACCCACGGACTGATCGCAACAGGCAACGCCCGTATAGCTGGCATGGAGGAGGATCTCAACCTGGAGGGATATGACTACAACGTCGTATTATCGGCGTTTTACGTGTCATACATAGTCTTCGAGATGCCAGCAACGCTTTGCTGCAAATTGATCGGTACGCACAATGACTAGACCTCTTTGCTCAACTCTGATATAGCAGCAGGCCCTGGATGGTTTCTGCCGATGACTTCGTTTGGCTTCGGTGCAATGTCTATCGCGACAGCTTTCGTGCGAACGCGCGCTCAGGCGTGTGCTGTTCGATTCCTGCTTGGTATCTTCGAGGCCGGCGTAATGCCTGGATGCGTTTACTACCTCTCACGATGGTACAAAAGGTCGGAATTGACCTTTCGTCTTGGGCTGTGGTTGTCCATGGCCCCTCTCGCGGGAGCTTTCGGTGGCATGATCGCTTCGGCTATCCTGAACTTGAGCTCCGTCGGTTTCTTCGATGGTTGGCAAATGTAAGCAAACAGCCTGTATGCTGCAAGTCCCTGAATAACAGTCAAAAGGATCTTTGCGATCGAAGGCATCGTCACCATGTGCCTTTCTGTCGTGGCCTTTTTCACACTGACTGACCGCCCGGACACTGCACGCTGGATGACCGATGATGAGATACGGATGATAGTTGGCAGGATAAAATCCGAGCGTCTCAATCAGACCGAATTGCTCGACAAGATCGATACCTTGAGGCTTCGACGCGGCTTCTCCAACCCAATCACGCTTGCGATATCGTTCATCTTCCTGCTTGACAGCATAACTGTCATAGCCATTTCGTTCTTCTTGCCGACGATCGTTCGTACCATTTACCCAGCTCGCACCGTCGTCCAACAGCAGCTCTTGACAGTGCCGCCGTACGTTCTGGGTGTGGTCTGCACTATTCTGATCACGACCGTGAGCTGGCAAATGAACTCGCGACAGACGCTCATTGCACTCACGGGTCCTTTTGTAATTGCTGGGTATGCGATGTTCCTTGCGACGATGAACGCAAATGTTCGATATGCGGCTATCTTCCTTTGCGCATCAACATGCTTCTCGTTGGCTGCCATGACGAACGCACAAGTCAGCGCAAACGTGCTTTCTGACTCTGCACGCAGCATTGCCATTGGAACCAACGTCTTCTTTGGATACGTTGGCGCCCTGATCGCCAGTTGGACTTATCTACCTGGCGACTCTCCCCGTTATGCCATTGGAAATGGGATCAACTTGGGTTGCGCAGTGACATGGACCGTCGTGGCGGTTTTCACTAAGCTCTGGATGACCCGCGACAACAGGAAGAGGGACAGGAGGCAGCTAGAAGCTCATACAGAGCTCGCATCATTATCAGATGACGAGATTGCGAACCTTGAGTGGAAGCACCCTGCATGGCGATGGAAGCCGTGACTGACGCCACATTGTCCTCAGAGGCCCCAGAGACATTGCGGCGTTTATGGAAGAAGCCCACATGGCTCTTCACGTTTAATCCTGCCACCGATGGTAGAATGGCCGACCAGGTTCGCAGTGCATGCGACCAGATTTCCCTTCACGACAAAGTTCTCTTCTGAAGTCGGAAGCTGTTTCCAGTGTCTTCTTATGAGTTAGCTTCTTGTATTCAATCTCAAATTCACACGACAGAGGCGTGAAGTCGCAAACTTACATGCCTTTGTTCCTTCACAATCGCTCGTTCACTGCAAACAGATTCACCCACCTGATGCATTTCCACGAACATGTCTATCGACTGCAAGCTCTGAGTTGCCAGCTGCTCGACTCAGTCTCTACCAACTTGCAGCCCTCGTTCAAGCAGGCATGGACAACTTCCTCAACACGCAACTGCATCCCGCAGACACTTGCAACATCTGCACCGAGCACTTCAGCGCGACCCATCAGCCTGCGGCGCTGCCTTGCAAGCATATCTTCGGTCATGAGTGCATCATGAAGTGGCTGAAGGAGGGTAGGGGAAACTCAAATGCTTGTCCAACTTGCCGTTACGTCGTGGTCCCCAAACCAAACCCACGCGCAACCTTCGATGTTGCCTCAATCTGGAAAGCAATATGCGACCAGCCGCCCGAACGCCTCCATGCTTTCATGATGAAGATATGGTCTGGCCTGGAGATACTTTGGCAGCGAGAGCCCACCGGTGCCTTCACAGTAACCTCCATTCTCGACCAAGCCATCATCCCGGCCCTGATTAACACTGCACATCGCACTAACGCGCCCGATGATCGGCGGCCAGACTCTCTTTTGGATTGCTACAATCTCGTGGCCGCATCTTGGGACTCCCTGGGCCGCCCCAACATAGCGACTGGTCTCGCGATCCCGTTGGTTCGGCTTGCACGTTTGATGGCCAGCGCAGGTGCTGTGCTACCAAAGTGGCTGACCAAGAACCCACGCGCAAACAGACTAGTCTGGCGCGCAAATGCCTGTCTACCTATCGGCGAAGTAGACCTATCGTGGCGCTACATCATCGAAGCCTCTCAACAGATCGAGTCGCCTTACTTCCCCTTGCTGCACCTCTATACCGTCTTCATAAGCCAGAGCATCGCTCACTTCCCTGCACCGAGTCCATATCCCACCAAGCGTCTTGAAATCATGAACCTTGTGGTTGAGCGCTGTTGTACGAAGATTGGTGGTGGAGGGGCGGCTTGGAAGGGTAAGCCGGGCGACGAGCTCAAGGAGGCTTTGGTGGGGGTATACGACGAGTTACGAAGGCATCAGCTGGAAAAGAATCGGATGAGTCTGCGAGGTCACGACGGAGAGGATGCGCTGGTCAAGGGCATATGGGCTCTCGCTGGCTGGGGCGGAGGAAGAGGTAACGCGCGCTGATGGCATTGCGTAGGTGGGGCCATTCGAGCCATCTTAATTCTATGTGCTTTATGAAGTTAGCATCCTTGTATCGATTTAGAATGACAAGGACATTGAACGCATACCTGAATTGTAGAAGGATACCAGCATGACTTGCGAATGATGATGCTCACTGGCCGCCGTTAGCGCGTTCCTGGAGGCTTGGCGGATTGCGACGCGTCCATGTCGCGCGGGGCTGCGCGCCTCTCCTCCCGTTGCACTATCAATTGTACGGACTTGTCGGTAAACCTCAGAAACCCACGCGACTCTGAGCCATCCAATATCATCGCCATTGGCTTGTACAGGAATAATCTCGAGGATGACTTCAAGCCCGCCGCGCCTGCCGATGCTTGTCTTATTGAAGCATCCTGTGCAGGAGTGAGACTACTATGAACCTGGCATGATCGCGACACTACAGCTCACGTTCGCCATATCAGACACCATGGGGCTTCTCCCAAAATTATCCAAGATGAGCTACTTTGAACAACCTTAGAACGAAGGCTGAACGAAGACTGAAAACAGCCGCACATCTTGCGAAACGTGGAAGCGATTAAGCAGAGCTCATTCACGAACAAGGCAAAATGCCTTGCATCATACCTGCTTCAGAGGGTCAATACAAGACTATCAATACGCTGTCCAGCTCGGATACTCGAAGACGGCAAATGCCAGACTGCCGGATAGATCATAACGGCAGGTATAAAAAACAATACAAGCACATTAACTCGCTTTGAGCGTACCACTAAGAGCCATTGGTTTAGATTGACATCCTAGACAGACGACAATTATCCGCCACAACGGCATTACTCTCTTGAGATTTTCGGCAGTCTACGCGAATGCGATGATGTCTGGAATGATACATAAATCCTTTATCTGGTCATGTCAAGGTCTCGATACTTTACGGGTAGTCTTCATCACATCTGACAGAATGCACTTCTCGTCTCATCTATGGCTGACGGCTACAGCTGGAGTACTCTCAGCTACTCAATCATCGGCCGAATGCACGCGCGAAGGTCTTCTTGCAGCCGCAGACTCCTATCTAGCGGCTCAGGTTGCGGGCTCTCCTAGCAGTCTCAGCCTCGCGCCCACGAACTTCACATATCTGCAAAACAACAAGGCTTCCAACATTGCGACTGGTCTTCTCTCAACGTCCTTCGTCATCGACCTCAACCGCTCATCCACCGACATCGAAGCATGCGCCAGCTACACAATGTGGATCAGCGCTTCTGCGAACAAACCCTACGTAGTTAGCACCCAGATCCGCCATCTGAACAACGACACGTCGACCATCAGCTCCATCGATACCGTAGCGGCCACAACCGGCGACCTATTCTTCGACGCGAAGAAGACCCTTTCCTACATCCGCGCCGAATCGTGGTCTACCCTTCCCACCGCCTCGCGACCCTCACGTGCTCTCCTCAAGTCTGTCGGTGACGCCTACCTCGACATGTGGACGAATGCTACTGCTGCCGACACTATACCCTGGGGTACTCAATGTGAGAGGGTGGAGGGAAGCATGTATACCAACCCTTGTGGAGCGAGTCTTCCGCACGGAGGGAGTCAGAAAGCGAATGGCATGAGGCGATACGTTATCGATGAGAGTATCGGTAGTGTGCAGGTCAGTTGCCAGTTCGATAGCTTAGGAGCTTGGCCGGACAGTCATGAGATAAGGGTTGAGGGTGGGACGGTGAGGTACGTGCATACCGTCACTGTACTGAGGGGTGTCGGCGCTTGAGATGCGATATTGCATTTCTATTACAGTCATTGCATATGATCAATCGTCTCAATCTATGGCTCTTGCTCGTCTACTTAATATCAGCGCTCTTGACAACTGTGCCAAACACATCCGCTAGCTCTGCCAGCGCCACCCTGGTGACCTCGTCGCCCTTAACACCAGGTATATCACGATCGCCGATGGCATCCTCTACCAGAACGACTTCGTATCCCTTCTGGAAAGCCTCACGTGCAGTTGTAGACACGCAGACGTGTGCCATGTAACCAGTCAGGACAAGCTTCTTAACACCCATCTTCTCTAATGTCTCATGCAGAGACGTCTGTTCAAAGGATCCGGGGTAGTTTTTCCAGATCTTCTCTTCTCCGTCCTGATCAGCAGTTAGTGACACTTTCTCCTAAGATGTCCTAGTGGCCAGCGTACCTGTGCTTTGACCTCCTTGAACTCTTCCGCCAGGTCAGTGCCAGGCGTGAAGACGGGTGCGCCTTCGGGTGTCTGGTGCAGGATGTGGATGATCTTGCCGTTTGCTTTGCGGTACTTGTCGAGAAGGTCGGCGATAACCTTTCCGCTTGCTGCGGCATTTGTTACGGTAAGTGCGCCGGATGACTAGTCGGTAGAGTTAGCCCTAGAGCGATGCGGCGGGCGGGGAGAGAGCCAGTGTGGGCAAGAAGGAGATTGAACGTTCAGCAATAGATCGCTGCATTCAATGCAACAATCAACCTTGCCGATGAACTGGCAGCAGTTGTCTTGCAAGATTTAGGGGGAAAGCATGCCGACCGCTCGATAGCTATGGGTTATTACTTACATATTCATTTTGGGCGTCAATGATGAGAAGGGCAGAGTCGCTAGTCGAAGCCGTAGAGGCGGGCATGCCAAGAAGGTCACGGAAAGATGGAGGCGCCATTTCTTGCGTAGGATAGTAGTATGCTGTTTCGTGTGGTGTAGATGAAGTGCGTTGTGGATGTATTGCTGTGATGGCGAATTCTTGGGAGGAAAAAAAGTAGGTTTAAGTAACAACGAGCAAAGTAGATCCTACGTTGTACGATCGTAGCCTCTATGTGGTAAGCAATGATTAATGATCTACTTGATTCCAGAAGATGTGTATGCTATTCGGGATTTCGGGATACGACACCCTTTTGGGGTGAGTAGGCGTACCCCGCCTCTGTGGGTACCTGCATGACGCGCTGCCAGGACCTCGGCCCAATGACGTCCAGCCGCCCGTGGGGCGCCATACCTGGGCATCTTCAAAGTCTGGTGCTTCACGCTTTGTTTTCTCGACATATCCGGGGTTTTTGGCCCGTGAAGGTTCACCTCGAAAAGTGCTCACGAATACACTTTCACTGGCTTAAATTGCAATCTAATCCAAGTCGATCCTCCGCCCACACCTCATGCGACGCACCGAGCCATCAGACATGGGTTAAGGCAACTTTAGCATACCAACTTTACTCGCGAGTGCCTAGAAATCCATTGTCGAATAAGAACCATCTGCTCAAACGGTGACAAATAATTGCGACACCTAGCGCTTGCGTGGCCGTGTGCGGCGATGCGACAAGAACGACGAAGTTGCAACAGACGTATGAAACTCTACAACTTCCAGTCTTTTGCCCATACATTCGCCTTGCTGAACGGCAAGACACCTCCCTTCACCATGTACCGCTGAACATCGCTTGGCGAGACGAAGGGGACGGCATAGTCTAATGCCACTGGCTTGCAATACCCAGCATTCTTTACCGCAATCTCGTTGGCTTCCCTGTGATTGCTTGCCACAATCCAGACGCCCTTGGCATGCCCCTTGATCTCCTCAATGGCGAAGATACCGGAAGCCTTGACATCTCGAAGTGACGAGCCTTTGGAAAAACGTTGGATCGAACCTCCGAGCCAGTAAACGTTTTGGAGTTCGAGATTACACTTCTGCTGGCGAAGGAAAGCAGCAGACTGGTCGTTCTGCTGAGTATCGTCGAGGTGTAGTGTCTCCAAGCGTGACCAGTCTGGAGAGTGCGATGGGCCGCCCAAGAGCCCCATGTGTACTGAACCCTCGTTGCCCAGTCCATCTCCGCTGATCGAGAGATGCGTTATACCCGCGTAGTGCGATGCTGTGTTGATCTTCTGATTGTGCAGAACCTCCAAGTCGAAGACCATGGCATCCAGTGTTGACATCCAACGACCAATGTACTTTATCGCAAGTACATCTCCGAGCTGACTGGCGGGTATTGGTGACGCGCTTGGATCGACATCCCCCAGTGCGCAGATTGAATGCGTTTCGATATAGACTTTCAGTTTGTTTTTCCGCATCGGGTTGCGGAGAACGGCATCAACAGCGTGATCGAACATCTTAGCGCAAGCTTGATCGAGGATTCCTTGATATGGCTCGAACATCATGCGTCGGCGAGTCCACATCTCGTCCTCGAAATCCTCCGGATCGTGGTCGTTATATAGCAGCACTGTCTGAAGGAGCTCCTCACGGGAGGGTCGCTCCTGTGCTGGTCGAGAATTGTGGAAACCGGGAACGTGGATCATTTCCTTGACGCCATGAAAGTTTCCCAGTGAGTGTGCCAGGGAGTCGCGTAACTGGGCAGAGTCGCGCTCTTCATGGCACCCATCTATGAAGTGGAGATAGGTGTTCGAATTTGGCGGCAGCTCATCGTCACTGTCGGCCTCCCAGTCATCGTGATCCGTGAGTTCTGCATGAAGGCCAAACTCATCAGGCGGTGTCGGCCATACGTTCTCGAAGATTACCGCCGGAACACGTCCTAGGTTGCAGCTAGGGTTGGTGCTCTGGATCTGCACTGCTTGTGCCATCCTCCAGATGCTACTAGACATAGGCATTATGTAGAAAGTCGTCTCGGAGATAACCCATGCGGGGATGGCCGCGCTCAGGAACTTGTTCACGCGACGTAGCGATGAGATGTCGGAGGCGTCATTCGTATTCCTCGCGATCATAACAATCAGCTCGGGCGGCAGGTCGTCGAGGCGTCGAAGCTGTCCTGGGATATATACGGAGGCAAGGTGAGTAGCGCTCATCTTTTCGTAGATGTTGGTTTTTCCTCCGGGTTTGGAAACTGTATCGCGGGCGACGGTGTATATGCGCTGTAGTTGAGACTGGTCCTGATCAGGCAGCGGATGTGGGAGTTGCAGTTGAGAAGGAGAAAGCTGCGGCTCCCGGTGGGTTTGAATTTGTAGAAGTGAGTAACGGAGGTTTTTGAAAGTGGCTGGGACGAGATTTCACCCTCATGGTTGAAAGGTCGCGCGCCTCTCTCTCGCAGTACACACACACACGTTTCACATGCGTTATCCTGAAGCTCTTATTGGTAGTTGCGGTCGCCGGTCAGAGATTTCGCACCTTGTGATGGCACAATAGCGCGCCATTTCATCGTTCAGATGAGATATAGTGAAGGTGAAGGTGAGCCGGCCATGCAACCGAGGTGTAAGCGTCGTGACATCTTGATAGATCTTCTAGGAGCGCCGATGCGCATGGGAGTACTGCTTACAACCTTCGTAGTGGGGTTGCAGTCTTCCAAGGTTAGGAAGGGATGGTATCATAGCAGCCATCATGTCCAGAGATTAAGTTGGAGATAGAGGCGTGTTTGGAATGCATGCTTCGCCGTTGGAGCATAAAATCGATTGTCAGAGCAGTGAAACGGTAGGTATGCGGCGAAGCGCATATATATGATCCAGTGTTCACAATGACTACAGCGCCTGGATATGCCACTGAAGTCGTGTTATGGGATGCCGTTTGTAGCGCAGCTTGGTGATTGCTATGAGCGTGCCACCTGGGCAAGCTGCAAGCAGCGGCTAGGACAAGGCGAGTGAAGGGAAGTGCGCAACTTGTTAGACGCCTGACCTTGATGCAGAGATTCGCTGTTTGGTTTGGTTATCGAAAAAGTCAACAATTCATGTGCAGCGCAGGAAGACAAAGAGATGGTAGCATGAGGGTAAAAGCGTGTATGAGATCGCGTACGGCGTCAAAAGACGCAGTCGCGCGCTAGTATCCACAGTGGGCCTAGATTTAGTAACGATCGGCGACTTCGCAAACTACGGTGATAAATGAGATACAGGCCCACACGACGAAGTTATAGAGACAGATTGTGGATTAAAGCGTCAAACTAGTTGCGAATCGCTAGGGGAGACATAATTGTCTCGAAAGGAGTCGGTGTAACGCAAAAAGAAAGGATTAAGATCGAACTATTATCAGCACACTGCTATTATAACAAAACCAAACACTCTCAAGGTGACTGATGACGCCAGTTCGTGCGAAGGCAAATCTGAAACACTTTTCGAAATCCTGTCTAAGCGTGTCAGTAAGCCAGTTGCAAGCTTTTGTGCAGGCTAAGAAACATACCAGCTCAAAGATACGTTCGCCCACCTGGCGCCGCTTCCTTGATCTCTTTGAGATGTTTTCCGTGCTCCTCGATAACTTTCGGGGAAGTCTTCGTGACTTCACCCTGACGAAGCGCGTAAGAGTACCAGGTCTTGAAGCATTCTTTCTGAGAGGCTGTCGGATAGCGTACGCCTTTTGCGCGGTGGGCTTGGAGGACCATGGTCTCGAGAGAATGGGTTGCAGCAGGCATGATGATGGTGCGAAAGTGAGAAAACAAGATTTGTGAAGCGATGACTGAATGTGCAATATGCCGAAGGGTAGATCAGTTCTGAGAGCAAACTCGGAGTAGTATTACTGCAAGCGGATCCGCAGTGAAAATCGCCGTCACGTGATGACAGTAGTCTCAGATCGATTTGCAGAAGCGGAGAACAAAGGTGGGGCAAGTGAGTGTATGAAGATAGGAAGACCTGACGAGGCAGAATGGTCGTGGGCTTACATGTCTTGGTGTTATCTTTTTCCGGCTCTCCATCAGATCTCCGCGACAGGTACAACGGCAAACGTGCACAGCGGCCTGCCGGTGCTCAAGTCACCGAACATGGGTTGATGAAAGCCATCATCGGGAGTTTCCCGATCTCTGAATAGCCGTGCACGCCTTGGTGTCTGTCAGAACTGTATGCAGATCTCAAGTTCGGCGTGAATGCGGCAGGTATTGACATTCTGCGCTTGACGAATGTTACCTGCTTGTAAGACCATATCAAGTGCTGACGTTGCTCTTCCGACCTCGAAACTTACTCAACAACTGGATGATGGGAGAGGGAAGGAGTAAGGATGTAAGCATACGGTGAGATACGGTGCTTTGCTTCTGTAGGCGCTATGTGTGGACGATCGGTATCAAGGTATCAACTCGGGCGACGCGCGGGAAAGCGGGGTCAGTGCAGCGGGCCGAAAGCGAGCTCACCCTGAAGTTCAGCGACGAGCGCCCAATGCACAGGGCGAAACGGCAAATACAGGGTGTAACACATACTTCCGAGCCAGATCATGCGCAACTCTCGTGCGTGATCTATCGGGGTCAGAAAAATTTAGCTACTTGAAGCAAAAGCCAAACACCAGATTCATTCGAGTAACATAACCCCAGCGTGTAATCGCCGAGGATCTGTGGGTGAGCGTCCTCCATCAGTGATGTACCTTACTTGTAGGAACATCTTTCCACTTCTGCGGGAGGTCACCTTCATTTCTGCGGAAGACCCTCAAGCCATCAAATTCCAGGTCACCCTCAGCGATTTCCGGTATCCTGATCACTCCGCTGAAACGCAAGCCACGCTCTTCAAATTTGATCTCTCCTTGAGCAATGCAATACGTACCTGAGCCGTAGTATTCGCCACTCGGATTTTCAAGCCGAGCGTCGAACAGAAGCTGAGGTAACGCGGTAGTATCGATATCAAGAGCGGGAAGATCCCTAAGATGTCGAGTCTCCACGTTAGCCCGGTTTCGTTCTGGTGTTCTTTCCATAGCCAAGTCTAGTGCGTCCTCGCATAGCCTCTTGACTTCGGCATTGTTATAAGAAGGGGGAGCGCGTCTGCCTCGTC